AAATACACATACTTATCAAGCACCCATAAACATATCCCAAGATCATTTTCTGAGCCATAAAACAAAGGTCAACAAATTTAAAAGAATTGAAATCCTGCAGAGTATGTTTTCTGTCCACAGTGTAATCAAACTAGAAATCAATAACCATAAGATAACAGGAAATTCTCCAGACACTTAGAAACAAAACAACACATTTCTAAATAATCCATGGGTCAAAGAGTAAGTCTTAAGGAAAATCAAAGCATACATTTAAACTGAATAAAAATGAAAATACAACATATCAAAATTTGTGGAGCACAGCTTAAGCAATGCTGAAAGGGAAATTTGTAGCACTAAATATGCTTAAAGAGAGGAAAAGCTTCAAATCTAAGATCCTGCCTTAAGACTACAGAGAAAGAAGAGCAAAATAAATCCAAAGCAAGTGGAAGGAAAGAAATAATCAAGATAAGAACAGAAATAAATTGAAAACAGAAAAGCAATAGAGAAAAATCAATAAAACCAAAAGCTTGTTCTTTAAAAATAGCTATAAAATTGACATTTAGCAAGACTGACAAAGAAACAAAGAAAACACAAATTAACAATATCAAGAATAAAAGAGATATCATTACAAACCCTGCAGACATCAAAGGGATAATAAGGGAATATTATGAACAACTCTACACATATAAATTTTGACAATTTAGATTAAAATGGAACAATTCCTCAAAAAGTACAAACTACTACAACTCACTCAACATAAATTATTTGAATAGCCCTGTAACTATTAAGTAAATTGAATGCATAATTTTAAAACTCCCAAAAAGGTTATCTCAGAATCCAGGTGATTTCACTGGAGCATTCTATCAAATGTTTAATGAAGAATTAACACCAATTCTACACAACCTTTTCCAGAAAAATAGAAGAGGGGGAAACACTTGCTAACTCATTTTATGAAGCTGTTATTACCCTGATACCAAACCCAGACAAAGACAGTACAAAAGCAGAAAACTGTAGATTATTATCCTCCATGAGTATAGTCATCAAAATCCTTAACAAAATATTAGTAAATAGAATTCAGCAAGACATAAAAAGAATTATACACAATGACTAAGTGTTGTTAATTCCAGGGATGCAAAACTAGTTCAATATTCAAAAATCAATCAATGAAATCTACCATATTGACAACCTAAAGAATCACACAATAATATCAATCTATGCAGAAAAAAACATTTGACAAATTCAATTACCTATTCATGATTAAAAAAACCTCTCAGAAAAATAGGAATAGAGGGGAACTTCCTCAACTTGATAAACAGCATTTACAAAAAGCCTATAGCTACCAAGAAACTTAATGGTGGCATACTGAATACTTTGCCCCTAAGATTGGGAACAAGGCAAGGATGTTCACTCTTACCAATCCTATTCAACATAGTGCTGGAAGTTCTAGCCAGTGCAATAAGGCAAGAAAAGGAAATAAAAGGTATACAGATCAAAAAGAGAGAAACAATCTGTTCTTATTCGTGATGACGTGATTGTCTAGATAGAAAATCCCAAGAAATTTACCAAAAAAAACAAAAAACAAAAACCTCTCAGAACTAATAAATGAGTTCAATAAGGTCACCAGATACAATATAAACATTAAAAAATCAACTATGTTTCCATATATTAGCAACAAACACATGGACACTAATCGAAAAATACAATATCATTTATAATTGTATAATTGCTCAAGAAAGAGAAATACTTAAGACTTAAATCTAACAAAACATGCATAAAACTTAAATTTTGAAAACTACAAATTGCTGATGAAATAATTTAAAAAAAACCTAAATGGAGAGACATACCATATTTATGGATTGGAAGGCTCAATATAGTAAAAATGTTAATTCTCCCTAAGTTGGTATACAGGGTTAATGCAATTCCTATAAAAATCGAGCATGATCTTTTGTAGATATTGACAAGCTTACTCTAAAATGTACAGTCATGCATCACTTAATGGGGAGGATACACTCTGAGAAATGCATTGTGTGAACATCACAGAGTGTACTTACACAAACCTAGATGATATAGCCTACTACACACCTAGGCTGTATGGTACGAATCTTATGAGACCACCATTGTATATAATGTCCTTTGTTGTCCAAAATGTTGTCATGTGGTGTATGATGTATACAGAAAGGCAAATGAACTAGAATAGCTAAAAGGCAATTTTGAAGAAGAAAAAGCAAGAGGTAGCAGAATTCCTAATTTCAAGAATTATAGCCACAGAAATCAAAACTGTGTGGTGTTGGCAGAGAGAAACACATAGAATGATGAAACAGAATTGAGAACCAAGAATTGATACCTACACAAATATGCCCATCTGATTTTTTTTTTTACAAAGTTGTAAAAAGCAATTCAATGGAGAGAAGATAACTTTTAATAGTGTTGGAGCAGCTGGATATCCATAGGTAAGAAAATGAATAAACTTCCATCTAAGTCTCACACCTTATACAAAAATTAACTCAAAATAGATCTTTCTTTTTTTTCTCTGCCCACCAAGGGTGAGGAGTCTAAATGATACCTTTCTGGAAGAGAAAAGGAGAGGAAGGGAGGGAGGAAGGAAGAGACAAGGGAGAGGAAGAGGGGGTTGGCTTTTACTGTCATCATTGGGTGTGTCTGTCCCTTGAAAAATGCCAAGGAAACAAAGACCATCCCCTCAGGGGTGCATAGCTCAGCAGGTGCCTTTTTGAGGCTTCACCCTTTTATACAAAACTTGGCAGTGAGCAAGCAGGATTTAGGCTGTTCTGAAGGGTCTGCACAATTGTCCTCAGAGGTCATCTAGACCAGCCATTCAGGCTGTGCTTCCTAGGTCCCAGAGCTATCCTGAAGGGTCTTGGAGACCCTCAGGGATAACTTCAACCACAGAAGTTCTGTTTATGCTCCTGGGTAATATTCCCTTTAAACAAATGATTCCATGGCTGAAAGAAAGTTGGAAAGCCATTTCCTAACCGAGTGACCTTCGGTAAGGTACTTCATTTCTCTGGGTGTGTTTCCTTATCAGTAAAATTGAAATATTAGTTGTGATCATCGTGACAATTAAGTGAAATCATGCATTTAAACTCTTAGCATAGTTGCCTGCTACCTATAAGTGTAAAGAATGTTAGCTTCTTATTATTATTGTTTTTATAATATTAGTAACAATCATCGCACCTCCTGGTGTAAAAGAAGTGAAGGGACTTTTCCAAGGTCACACAGGGAGGTAGTACATGGAGGAAGAGCTGAGGGCCTGTAAGACATGACTATGTTATGATACTAGTACTCGGAGGGCTGCTGAGGACCATCTTCTGATATTAGTCCATTTCTCCTGGCTAGGATAAAGCTATTCAGTGGAGAAAGACTTATGTAACTCCATGTGGAAAGTGAGCGAGGGTTCCACTGCTGTGGGCTGCATCCTCCTGTTATCATTGCTAGTCGCTTCCTGACCCCCTGGGGTACAGTCCTTTGTACTTTATATTCCTACCTTGAAAGCAAGTTTTGATGACCAAACTTACCTTTGGAGAACCTCCACTTTGTGAAAAAGCAATATCAAATTATGAATGTGTTATTAATTGTGTATTATCTTTGTTTACTAGCCTTGGCAAGTAAGGCCTCTCTGAGCCTTGGTTTCCCCATTTCTAAGACAGAATAATAATATCTCCCCCCGCCCCAGCAAATGGCAACGAGAAGCAAGGAGATCATCATTTGTTAATTCTTTGAAAAACATAGAATGGTAAATAAATTGGGGGAAGGAGGAGATTATCATTTTAAAAATTGAAATAGAAATTCATACTTGGGATGGATATTGGGCAAACTGCATCATAAGTAGATATTTTTAATGTATTAATAGCTAAGCAAAGTTTTTAAAGGAAGTAATAGCAGAATAAAATGTTTTGATTCAAAAATTAGTGAAAATGAAAGTGTACAATTACCCAAGTTGAAGTACATATTATTAAATCACCCACACAGAATTTCAGGTCTATATGTCAACAGTCATGTGCTGGCAGTCCCTAAAGAAAAGCTAGGATTTCATTGACTTTATCAATGGATTGTATGCTTAGAATAATAACGGCTTAGAAATGCAACATGTTGTCTGGTCAGTTTTCTAAACCAAAGTTTCAGGATTCTAGCAGCAAAAAAGAGAAAAGAAACATAGGTGTCCTATTTATTATGCACACATACTCATTATCTCTAAAGAGAAACTTTTAAGCAAAGAAAAACCAACTTAGCAATTTTATCAAAAAACATATCACTTTCTACATACTGTCTGGTGCTCTGCTAGGTATGTTACATTTCTTACATCATCTCCTTTAATCTCCTCAATAACTGTGTAAGGCAAGTGCCAATGGCCCTATGTCACAGGTCAGCAAGCTGAAGCTCAAAGAAATGGAGCAATTTGTCTGGAATCCCACAGGTAGGAAGCGGCATGACTGGGCTCTGAACCCGAATTCTTGCCACTACTTGTGTTTGTTAATAATTAAGGTTGGCATCATGTCATTAACTAAAATCCACAGAACTATCAGAAAAATCTAAAGGTGTTGGAGCCTTCGTTGGTGGTCAGTCTCTTCTTGTCCAGCTGTGCTGAGGAAATGGACCACTTGGGGAGCAGAACGATTCAGGGTGCCATGGTGTTCATGGTGTTGGGGTGGGATCTGGGCTTTTGTGGCCTTTCCTTTCTCTTTCCTTTCAAGTTTGCCTTTTCCTTGCTACCACGGAATTTCAGTGCTTTCTCTTAATCACGGAGTATGACTCTGTTTATCAAACAGGAAACTGACAATTGTTTCAAATGTTTTCATTGACTGCACATTCCCTCCTGGAAATCCCCACAGACATTAAAACCATGAGCAGTGACCTGAGAATTTCCCAAACCGTATAGACAGAGCCTCAGATCGATTGATGTTCTGAAAGCTGAGGAGACATAACTCTGCGGTCTTTCATAATTGCAATAATCCTGGGTGCTGTAAGAACCTGCCTGGAAATAATTTTTTTCATGTTTATTTTAGCAATTTATGAAGTTGGAATTGAAGAACTCCCAAAGGTATTGTATCCTCTCTTCTTACCAGCTTTATAACTAAAACAAGTGTACAGAGTTGATGCTGAAGTAGTTTCTTACATGAGAGAAGAAAGTCTTTGTTTTTTTACTTTCCCCAGGTTTCTGAGGCTTTTCCAGACTCCAGCTGCTAAGGTTCTGAAGCCTGAGCCCTGTCATTTGAGGGACAGATAGTCTGTGATGGGATGGAAGAAGATGGTCCTGATCCATCCCCGGCCCCTTATCTATGGTGGCCAGCACCAAGTGGCCTTTCATAACTGTCCCTTCAGAGAGAAGAGTCCCTTGGCACAAGCCAGATTTGTATATCCTGTGCTTTCCATGAGGATGACCAGACCCTTGAAGGCATATTTTCTGGGGTCCTGTTGGGCACGGTGCTAGGTGCCACCTTGTGGGCAATGTAACAGATTAATTAGGGCCCAAGGGGAATTACTAGACTCTGTCCCAGCTCCTGGCTGTATGATTTTGAAGCTCCATTTCCTCACCTGTAAAACAGAGATGATAGAAGCACCCACATCTGGGGTCATTGTGAGAATGAAAATAAGGTAAATTCAGATAAACAGTTTAATAGAAAGTGCCTGGAATCTGTTCCAGCGTATCATCTCTCCGAGCTTCAGTAGGGTCTTCTGTAAAATGGTGTCTTCTCCATGAGGGCAGGAAGCACGTGCCCTGTGGTTACCACATCTGCAGTGGTAGATGCTTGGTGAACACGGGGACCAATACTTGTTTCACTGAGTTGCTGAGAGCACGAAGTCAGACAAAGTAGGTGAGCACCTAGGACAGCGCCTGGCACAGAGTAGGCACTTCCCTCATGGTGTCACGGGGTGGTTAAGGTTCTACTCTTTTCTCATTGGGTACTTGTAGTCTAGATCCTTCATCTTTCAGCCTCAGTTTTCTTATGCTTGCTGGAAAGAATAGTTCATGTGTGGATACACTTTATAGATAGGAATAATAATCATTTATAGTTTTCTATTGATGAAAGGAGAAACATTCTATTAGAATGCCTCACTTACCTGGCAACATCAGCAAATAATAAACTTTTCTGCACAAGTGAACTCTCCAAATGACCAAATTTTATTCCATTCAAAATAAAAAAGCATGAAAGTATTTTCAATTTTCAAATCTTTAACCTTCAGACAGGCATTTCGTTCGTCTCAGTATTTTTACGCTCGGTGGGTGGAATCTGATTCCACCATTTCCAGATGACTTGGAATACTCTGGAACATAAGGGGCTGAGGGACACATTTCATGCTCTTCTCACGAGATGCTCCTGGGCCCTTGTAGGTGTTCAGAGCTAGTTGCCTTCACACCAAACCACCACAAGTCTATTTGCTGTAATTGTTTTCTCTTTTCTGACAATTATCATTTTTTTCTACTGTATTTTTGAGTCCAGCAGTGAGTCTTCACGTGGTCGGGCATGTTCCAAGTCCCTGTTGTGTGCTGGGCACTTGTGCATACACGGTAGAGTCACCCTGTGAGTTAGTATCACTGCTTCCGTTTTACAGATGAGAACTCAAGGCTCAGAGAGGTTAAGTAAACTGTCAATAACGTAGCAGAGATACAAAACAAGGTCCATCTGACCTGTCATTCCACCAGTGCTGTCATCCAATTTGCTAGAATTATATGGAAAATAAAAACCAGTAGTCCCTGAATGAAGGCCTGCAGGGCTCTCCTCAACGGAGAGTATATGAACTATTAAGCCTGGACTTTGCGGCAGCATTTTGGATGATTAGATATTTTCTATTTTCTTCAGGTTCTTGGCTAGATTCCCGATAAGGGATGGCATCAGATATGTGATGACTGAATAAATGAGGGGCTATGTTGTGGTCACTGGGACATAATTTTAATGGAGCCAAATCTAGATCATGTGAGAGCTGATTTTTGATCAGAGGGTGCATGATCAGTAAGGGAGAATTCCCAGCGTGACTTACACACTTATGTATACCAATTTTACCCACTGAAACATTGCTCAAATATCATAAATTCATACTTCTTCATATGACTGAAAATTTTTTTATTCTGTAGATGCATTCCTGGAAAGGCATGCAGAGAACAATTTATTCTTCTAAGTCAAATTATACACCCCCTCTGGCAGGCACCGTGACTTCACAAATGCTCATTTTCTTTTTGGATTGATCTGCAGCTCCACTGGCAACAGTTCACGGAAATTTCTGTTGTCAGTGTCCCCCATTGTCTGTACTGAGACCTCGCTTTTGGTCTAGTCGCTAATGATCTGTAAGCAAACAGGAGGCCTGATTTGGGTTGATTTATGAAAATGACCATTTTCCTCTTTACTTTCAGCCGTGGAAGAGTCTTCTCCATCAAGAACTTAGGTGAGTTTTATCTTCAGAATCCAATTAATCCATCCACTGACCTTCTGATGACTGAACTAGTTTTCCTCGATGGCCCAGCTGTGCTTCCGGTGCCTGACCTGGTTCAGCCTCCCCAGCACCTTGCCCGGTGCCCGGTGCCGAGAAGGTGCTCAGGGATCCTGCCGGCCACTCCCTCTCATGCCCTCCTAGCCCACACTGCACTCACTCAGCAAACGCTGAATCTCCAGCATGTGCCAGCCATTTGCTAACCACTGGCGCTGTAGCAGGGATGGAGATCTAGCCACCACCCTTGGGGGCTCCTGGACCAGTGGGACAGTCACACAATCAAACAGGCATATGACCATCCCATGAATCCCCAAGAACATACAGTTTCCACACTGCACCATGCTGTTTCACGTTTCTCTGCCTTTGCTCATTTAACTCATTAACTCACCCCAACTTAATCTGACGCACTCTACTGACCGTCACGTCCCCTCCTGTAAGAAGCCTCCCTAATTCCCCTCCTTCAGAGAGAAGTAAGCAGTCCCTTCCGTGTGGTACCACTGTGAGGTGCACATCTGTTTGCACTGATGTCGCTTCATGTCGTTTGTTTGCTGACATGCCAGCCCACCCTCACTCTCCTCCACACTGTGTCTGTGAGCTCCCCCGGGCTGGGGACTTCCTCTTCTTGGTGTCCCAGTACCTTTCCTCCTTCCTGGGTCCACAGCAGTTCTCTCTCCTGCCTCTTCAGAGACAGTCTCTGTCACTCTTCCCCTGCTGCTATTTTTTAATGCATTAGAATAAACATGGCCAGTGAGCTCTGGAGAAGCAAGTATTTTCTGGCTAAAGGTAAAAACATACAAGCCGAATCAGGGGGAAAACCCTGCTTCATCTCCCTCCCTTTGTCTCCCTGGAGTTCCTGCCTGACCTTAAATTCATGACCCCGCAATGACCCTCTAGCACATAGCACAGTGCTGGGCTCACGATGGGCACATGTCAAATGATTGACTAGTTTAACATTTACTGAGGGTTTTCTCTGTTTAGACACTGCTAGATTCTGAGTATAAAAATGAGTAGAATATATTTCCTACCCTCAGTTCAAGATGGGAGTGGAGGCCAAAGGGGTTGGAGTGGGGGGTTACTTGGAGGGGAAAATGACCACATAAATAGGAAATTACGTATACTATAATCACTGCTGAGGACATTGTGAAAACACATAGATGAGGCCCCAGGCATGCTTCCTTGAAGAGTGACAACTGAGGGCCAGCCCAGTGCTGTAGCAGTTAGGTTCGCACACTCCACTTCAGCAGCCTGGGGTTCACAGGTTCGGATCCCGAGCACAGACCGACACGCTGCTGGTCAAGCCATGCTGTGGCAGCGTCCCATATAAAGTAGAAGAAGATGGGCACGGATGTTAGCCCAGGGCCAGTCTTCCTCAGCAAAAAGAGGAGGATTGGTGTCGGATGTTAGCTCAGGGCTGATCTTCCTCACAACAAAAAAGAGTGACAACTGAGCTGAATGGTGAAAGACGAGTAGGAACTGGCCGGGTGACAATGGTGGAAAGTATGTCCCAGGCACAAGGAAATATGTAGAGCAAAGACACAGGGTGCCAAACAGTGAGGCCGGTGCGGGAATCCACAAACAGTCTGATAATGCTCGAGCATCGAGTGCAGTGCGGGAGCAGCAGGAAGGAAGCGGGGCAGGTGTGCAGAGCTGCGCCAGGAGGGCCTCAGCACCCTTCCTTAGACCAGCCCTGTCCGACAGAAGTATGTGAAGACCACATAAGTCATTTAAAATTTCCTCCTAGCCATATTTCATATTTTAAAAAGTAAAAAGAAACAGGTGAAATGTTAATGTATTTTATTTATCCCAATATATACAAAATATTATTTCAACATGTAATCAATATAAAAAATATTACTGAGATATTTTATATTCTTTTTTTTCATACCAAGTCATCAAAATCCAGATATATTTTACTCTTAGAGCTCAATTTGGACCAGACACATTTCAAGTGTTCAATAACCATGTGGCCAGTGGCCGCTGTATTGGATGGCACAAACTTAGACCTTATCCTATAGATCAGGGGGAGCCACAAAAGAGTTTTAAAGCAGAGATAATGCACCCCTCTCTCTCACAGTATTCCTAAAAGTTACAATATTAAATTTAATTTGAGAGTTATGGATGGAGATCCAGCTGTGTAGAAACTACTGGACAAAGCTTGGGGGATAGGAAGATGGATTACAAAGGACTCGTACGTCAACAAGGCAGGTAAACGACTTAGGAGAAATGTCAGCAATGTGTAATGGGAACGTAAGAATTGGGTAATTCTAGCTCAGCAAACGCTTCAATGAAGAAAAGGACACCGACAATTATTGAAAGGCCATTACGTGCTGCGAACAATGCTAGGCTTTCAACGTTTTAACCACATTTCATTCTCGTGGTAACCGTGGAGATTAGCAATGTGACCTTTCATTTAAATATGAGAAAATCTGATTTTTGGAAAGGTTAATCTTAGACTTTGAGAAGGAGGTAGAGTGGGGATGAGAACCCAGCCCTCACGCCACAGCCCCTGTTCATCACAGAACTAGCATATGACCTTAATGGTGGACAAGAGCGCTCAGTAATTGGATGAATGAATGAAATTCCCCAAAACTCCTTCCATTGTCTTTCAGAACAGTACTCTCTCTTGGTGTTTCTCCTTCCTTCATGACCACCCCTTCTGATTTTCTTTGAGGGCTCTTTTTCCTCCTCCATATAAATGTGGTCATAGAATCATCTAGTTCACTGTAATGCCAGACACAGAAGTTCTCATGTGAGTGTTAATGTTCTCCAGCATTCTGTCCTTGATTCTCAGATTTTCATTTTCACTCTCCTCCTTCACTTCTCCCACTCCTCCACTGCAGCTGTTGGCTATATACTGGAGCATGCCGGTCGTTCATTCATTAGGGAATACTGGCTGAGTACCACTCTGTGCCAGGCACTGTGCTATTGCTATCATGGATTACACAGCATCGGTGCTGGGGATATACAATGAATAAGAGAGTCCTGCCTCTATAACTTGATATTTAATTAGCTGACAAGGCAAAGCAGAAGAACTGGAGACAGATCCATAGACAGTACGTTATAATACAAGATAGAAGGACAACACGTTAGGGAGCTGGTAAGAAGGTTTGACTGCTTGGGACAATCAGGGAAGGATTCTCAGAGGTAAGATGATTTTGACAAATCGAGAAGAGTGTTGTGTTTTCCAGCAATATAAGATGTGGAAGGGGCCGGCCCGGTGGCGCATGCGGTTAAGTGCGCGCGTTCTGCTCCGGGGGCCCGGGGTTCGCAGGTTCGGATCCCGGGCGCGCACCAACGCACCGCTTGTCAAGCCATGCTGTGGCGGCGTCCCATATAAAGTGGAGGAAGATGGGCACAGATGTTAGCCCAGGGCCAGTCTTCCTCAGCAAAAAAAGAGGAGGATTGGCAGATGTTAGCTCAAGGCCGATATTTCTCACAAAAAAAAAAAAGATGTGGAAGGCGTGTCTGACAAAGGAAATAGCAAATAAAAATGGAGAGTTGCCCAAAATAGGATGGTAGGTTTGGGGAATTATGAGAGTCGAGACTACAGCAAAAGTGAAGGGAAGGAGGGCCGGCCCCGTGGCTTAGCGGTTAAGTGCATGTGCTCCACTACTGGCGGCCCGGGTTCGGATCCCGGGCGCGCACTGATGCACCGCTTCTCCGGCCATGCTGAGGCCGCGTCCCACATACAGCAACTAGAAGGATGTGCAACTATGACATACAACTATCTACTGGGGCTTTGGGGAAGAAAAGCAGGAGGATTGGCAATAGATGTTAGCTCAGAGCTGGTCTTCCTCAGCAAAAAGAGGAGGATTAGCACGGATGTTAGCTCAGGGCTGATGTTTCTCACCAAAAAAAAAAAAAAAAAAAAAGGGAAGGAGCAGAGGGAGACGAGGCTGGAGAGACAGGCAGGACCAGACCACGATGGGCCTTGCATTTAGTCCTAGAGGTAGGGGAGTTACGAGGAGACTTAAGCAGGAACTGACGCTCTGGCATGATTGGAGCAGGCGGAAACTTGGGGAAACTATCCAGATGGTTGACCTGATCTGGGTCCCCTTATCCTTTTTTTTTTTTTTAAAGGACTCATGTCTATTTAAATTCATTTTTCCTATTCACTTCATTTAGGATGGAATGATGCACTGTCATCTAAACACTCTAAGCTTCACTATTTCCCTGGTATCTCTTCACATTTCAGCCCTAAATATGAAGATGAAGATGAAAAAATGAAAGAAAAAGAGCCAAGTGAATTGGAACCTAAAAAATCAGAAAAGGATCCACATTCAAACCATCTTTTCAAGGTATCTGTGTTCTAGGATTCCAGACCAAATAGTGCAGTTCAGACGTGTAACAGGACCAGGTCATGGGTGACTTTTAGAGGCTGAGACGTGTAGCTCTCTAGACAGAGTCAGAAGATGCAGTGGGTGTTGGGCATTTCATCAAAGAAATGAACGTGACAATAGCACTGAGCTCTGGCCTCAGATTTTCTACTTATTAGTCATGAAGCAGGGCTGGGACTAGTGTGAGTTCGGCAAGGCACCTTGGGGCAAAATATAAAGAGACACTCACCCAGGGCCTGACCCTGCACTCGCACGAGCCTGGAGGCAGGGCCTCCTTAAGTTCTGCTTAGAAGAGTGACTTAGTCTCTGAGCTCCATCATCTCATCTGTAAAATGAGAATAAATGATCCCCACCCAATTACCATCCACACTCCTATCCTCGATCATGATGATAAAATGAACTAATGTACATGAAAGTGCTTTGTAAGCCATAAGCTACCATAAAAATGAAATGTACTGTTGTTGCTTTTCTTAACAGCAAACACTGTGTATATGTGTGTATCCATATCCAATGGACACTATCCCCTTCCACACAGTTAACGTGGTCAGATGCTTGACAAGAGATACCACCGGGGTTACTGCTAGTGCTCACAACATTCTAGATACCTGTTTGAGATGAGCCTTATCTTATAATATCAAATTGCTCCAGTGCTGTCTGCAGGGCTGGGGTGAATCACACAGCATGTTGGTGGTGTGAACCTGAACTGCTATGTAGGCCCGGTGGCCAGGCTGGACCAGGTCAGGTATTTACAGAGTATCACAAAGCAGTGTAATTTGAAGTTGAAGTAAGTCACTAATGAAGAAAGACAGGGATCAGAGCCAGGGAAGCAGCATTGGGTGTCAAGGCCAGAGGGCAGGGGCAAGGCCATAAATGGGTGATGAGAGCAGAGGTCAGGAAGGGGTTAATCAGCAGCATATGAAAAAGGCAAGAGAGGAGCACAATTAAGGATATTGGCCATGAAAGAGCAAAAGCAGGGGTGTGCTCTTTTTCCATGGTGGCCATATGACAAGAGCCAGGTATGGGGTCAGGCTACCACCAAAGGGACGTGTTCCTACTTTCATGGAGCAGGTTTGAGTTTTGGAAATTGTTGAAAGTTGTGTAGACTATGTTAGGTAAATGTGGTGGGCGGTCTTGCTGGGCAGTGCTCTTTGGGGTCAGATATAAATTCTAAGTCAGCAAATACACAATCCATTGTGACTCAGAGTGACTCTAGGGAATATTCCCAAGGACAGCACTAAGAGAATCCGGGGACTGCTTCCACAGGGGCTACCCAAGGGAGGCAGTCACTATGCTTGTGTGCAACATTGACTTCATGACTTTCTTGTCATTTTTCCCCATTTAAAAAATTCATTCTTGGCTGTGTGGCTTAAAAGAACGACCCTCCTTTTGTTCTCCTCTCAGTTTGCACAGATCCCACCAAGAACTCGGGATCGTCCATGCCTTATAACTATTAATTACTTTAGCTTTTTCCAGGTACTTTCAAATGTATTATCACTGTCAACCCTCATGTCCACTCTGTTGTAGAGGGAAGCACAGTAACCCTTCCTCTCATTTTCATCTGATAATTAGAAAACACTTAGATGGCCAGAAATGTTCTAATTCTTCTCTCTGTCCAGCGTCTCCTCCTGTCAATCTATCCAGATCTTTCTGAAATGCAAATCTGATCATGTTTCTCTCCTGCCTGGCTCCCCGTGATTATGAGATAAAGCCCACACTCTGCCTTGCATGCAAGACCCTCCATAACTCAGCCCCCTTCCATCTCACCTTTTCAGCCCATCCCCAGTCTTTCTTCCCCTATTACTTCCCCTGTTTCTTCAATGCTTCCCTCCTCAGCGCCTCCATGCCGCCATTATTAGGACACTAACACTTCTCCAAATACCCCAAGCCTTTGCTCATGCTGACTTACCTGCCAGGTGTTCCTTTGTCCTCTCTGTCAATCTCTTACTTACATTTTAAGATGCAGTTTAATAAAACCTGCTTTTGAAGTCTTCCCCAACCCTGTCTCCTAGCCAAGAGAACTGACCTCCCCTCCTCTCTGTTTCCATCTCAGCGAGCAATACTGCCATAAATAACACTCGCCACATCATACCTTAATTAATTGTTTGTGTATATGACCAGCGTGTAAGCCACCATATCCATTGCAGCTCTCTATCTCTAGCGCTTAGCATGTTGTCTCACCCTTAGTAAGTATTGACAAATGCTGGAGGGAGGGAGTGTGGAAAGAAGTGAGAAGAAACAGAAGAATGGCAGGTGGAAAGTTGAAATGTCAGGAAAAGGAACACAGCATCTCTTAGTGGTCAAGAGCACAGGGTTCTGGGCTCAAGTCCTGCCTCAGTAGATTACTAGCTGTGGGACCAGAGGCCAAGTAATGTAACCTTTATAAACTCTTTATCAAGAGGACTAATGATATTTTCCTAATGGAGTGTAATGAAGATTAAGTGAGATAGAATAGAAAAAGAGCCTGCCCAGTAGTCAGCACTCCATTAATATCCTGACTGCCTCCTGTGGGCCAGCCTCTGTGCCAGGCATTCACTGGCCATTCACAGGTGAACAAAAGATGTGGTATGCGCCCTCATGAGACTTAGAGTCTAGTAAAACAGTGTCAAATGAAATAATAAATAATTGTTATCCATGAGGAATGAATGAATGAAGAACAGCATGAGTAAGCAAAGAATTGAAAGGATAAGTCAGAGCCCCTCAGCACTCTCCCTGTTGCATGTGTTTAGGTGGGCGCCTATGATGGCACACCTGGAAAACTCCAGGTGACGAAAGTCCACAGAGGTAAGAGGAACGTGCAGGCTGGGAAGCAGGATGCTGTGATTGACATCATCCAGACAGAGGCCTGTCCTGAGGACCTGAAGCTGGCTAGGCACTCGCAAGGCCACTGTAAGTTCATTTCTTCCTGGTTCTCTTCACCGGTACCAAATTATTTTAAAGCTGTGCATGGCCAAGACTTTATTTTATAAATATTTATTGAACATCTATTATGTACAAAGTAACTTGCAGCAGTGAGGCAGCTGTGCAGTAGTGGAAAGAGCACTGGATTTAGAAGCAGAAGACGAGTTCAAATCGAGGTTCTACTACTTATTAGCTATGTGGTGAATAACTTCATATTCCTCAGCTCAGTTTCTTCATTTACGAAAAGGGATCATAACATGGACCTCACAGAGGTTTTACGAGGACCAAATCTGACGGTACGTCACATAACAGGCACTCAGCAAATGTTGGCTCCTTCTCTTTATATCTACCAGCCCCTGTTGCTTTTTGTAGGCCTCAGTAACAGACACACTGACGATATAACATGATATCATTGACGTTATTCAGGTTGCATTTTACCCTCACGTCAGTCAAGACTCTTGACTGCCAACAGGAGTCAAGTCATACTGGCTTAAGCAAAAAGAGAAGAGGAGGCTCGCCTAGCAGAAATTCTGGGCGTGGCTGGGCCCAGGGACACAAACAGCATCACAAGGGCTCACTATTACTTCTCCTTCTCCTGGCTTTGCTCCCCTCTGGGTTGGCTCCATTTTCAGACAAATCCTGCCCTTGTGGAGGCAAGATGGCCTGTAGCAGTGACAGGCTCACACCCTATCCTCTTAAGAACCCTGGAGGAAACCGAGAAGTTGTTATCATCTCCACAGTTATCAGAAAAGGCCCTGGCTGTGGATTGGAAGTGGTATAGGAGAGAGAAAGGTGTCAAGGATGTCTTCAAGCTTTTGGACCTGAGTGACTGAAAGGATGGGGTGGCCACTTTTGATGAGATGGGGCAGACTTCAGGAAGGGCAAATATGCAGAGAGAAATGGTGAGTTTGGTTTGGAGCATACTATTTTAGACAACCAAGTGGAAATGGTGTGAAGGCTGATGGAGTATCTAGAATTCATGAGAGATGTCTAAGTTAGAGATGTAAATTTGGGAGTTGTTTTTGTTTTCAAAATGAAGCCATAAACTTCTACATTTGCCTTAGCCAAAAGGAAGGATTAAGAAAGAAAAAAAGTTGCCCCAAAGTAAGACTTAAGCAACTTTGTTGAGTATCTTTGTTTTATGCTGGAGAAATTTACTGATAACCCTCTAAGAAAAAGCAGAACCTTGATGCCGCTGGGAGCTGACATTCATTGAGACACTTTGGGGCCTATCTGCTAATTGACTCGTTGCCAGAGGATAACATCTTGTTGCTTGGTTCATTTAATTAATAGACAAGTCAATTTTCTTATTGTTGATTTCTCAGATATATTACTTATTTCCGATTAACAGTTCATGTCTGAAAAGGGTTCTGAATCACCCATACTCTAAATATTAACCTATGCCAACTGATAAAACAGTCACAGTTTTATGGTCATGACAAGTTTACAGCTCAGTGAAATAAAGCGGCACCTGCATTTAACAGGCTAGCTACTTGTGCAAACATCCCTATCCATTTTTCAACCTGGCACACTGTCTTCTGGCTAATTCCATCATTGGCGAATAGTAAATGTTGACATGTGCTCAATCAACTCGTCTAAGAGCTTTTACGTTAAGAAAAAATACCACAAAACTGGATAATGTCATCTGGATGTATGGAGAGAAGCCCCAGGGCTGTACGTTTGAGGACTTCAACATTTGAGGTGAGGGGTTAGAGGAAGAAGAACCATCAAAGAAGAGGGAAGAGTTACTGGTTTACTAGATAACTAGCACCCTTCCTAAAAATGTATTAATCCTTGCCACAATCACATAAGAACAGGTGTTGTTATCATTATCCCAAATTCAGAAAATCATAACTAAGGCTCTGCAAGGTGAAGTGGTTTGCCAAAGGATCACACATACCAAGATTATAATCCAGTTTTAGCATATTTAATCTGCCTTTTCATTATTCTTGCCTCCATTGCCAATGACGTGGGTGAATGCATTTATAATAGCTGTTGATGAGATATTCTTCAGAGGGTTCTCTGTTTTCCTTACAGGTGGGTATGTGGAGGCCTTGGAGGTGACTAAAGAAACCCCAGGCCAAGAAGCCTTTAAGCCAAATTCCATCTCAGAGGAGACTTATGATGATGTTGAGTACCCTGGGAGAGAGGGGTAAGTACATTCCAGCCCTTCAGCAAGATGAACGTGATGAGACTTTAAAGGTAGAACAAGTTGATGGTCTTTGTATCTTTCTCTTCACAGACCAAAGTCGGACTTCTCTAACGCATTTGCCTCAGATGATGGTAAGTATAGGAAGACATTTGAAACTGTCAGTAGGAATTTTTGTGACTGATTAGTGATAAAGTGTCTTTTATTTATTCACATTTCATTAATACCAATTGGGTGGGGTGACGGCAAGCTAATAGAAGTGGTCCAAGGTATGTGCTAATAAATGCATTTAGAATCGTGAAGGTGAAGATGCTGGTAAGGGGGCTCTTGTGGCAAAAAAGCAACTTCACTGTGAAATTGCTTCCTTCCTGATCTCTTCACTATGCAAGTTTGATTATAGGAATGTTTTTTCCTTAAAACACTTACATGGCTTCCCAATACTTTTAAGATGGACCTTAACATGGTCTAGAGGTGTTGAGTGGTTTGCCCTACCTGCCTCTGCAACCTCTTCTCACACTCTGCTCAATCTTCATCCTTGAGATCCAGTCGTCCTGACCTTCTTTTAGCTTCTCTGACTTGATAAGCTCCCATTGCAGGGTGTTTGCATAAGCTACTCTCTCTTCCTAGAATGTTCTTTCCTCCCCTGTGTCCCTTTGCCTAAGTGACTCTCAATCTTTCTTCTGATCTCAACTCAGTCATTATCCCCACAAGGAATATTCTCCTCGGTGCAATCTCATAGTACCATGACCTTCTTTTTCACGGCACTTGTCACAGTTGTAATTTTCTATTTATGTGATTCTTTGATTAACTGTCTTCCCTCCTAGATGGTTACCTTCTTTATGCTTACCATTTTCCCCAGCCCCTACCATAATGCCAGGTACATGTTAGATATTCAAAAAATAATTGTTGAATGAGTGAATGAAAAGCTAATTGAGGAGGGATAATCAAATGCCACTCTGGTTGTTTTTGTCCTTCTTAGGATGTCAGAATTTTATATGGGGAAACAATCTTAGAGATCGCTAAACACAGTGCGCTCATTTTAAAAAGGAAACTGAGGCACAGAGAGACGTTAAGTGACTCTCTTAAGCTCGTTGTGTGTCAAGTTCTGAACTTGAAAATCTTCCATTGCCATAGTAGACTCAAAGTATGTCTTGTGTTGGGCTATATAAATATATGTGGGGTGTGTGTGTGTGTGTGTGTGTGTGTGTGTGTGTGTATCAGACTTGGCTAAAGCCATACTATGAAGGGAAAGATTATTCAAGGTGTGTCTGGTTCTCCGTTCTTTCCCCAGCATTCAGCACAATGTCTGATGTTCAGTAGAGTCTGATGGTTATCTATTAACTATGGAAAGGGGTAATTAGAGGGAAGAAGTCTGTTGATAAACCAACTTTCTTTGACTAAATCTGATCAGTCTTGGAGTCAGGGGTGGAAGCAAATATTAATTTTTCATTTGTATGTACTTTTATAGAGGTTAATTATTTTTACCATATGCCTGTAAAAATATGTGCATGTGTTTCAATAAAAACTACTTCAACAAAAGATCAAAGTATCTAGCACCCAATAATTTTTTGTTAAATATGAATCTGAATTATTTTCATTACAATGAGTGAAAATACTTTTTTGTTAATTTCTGAAGGAAACGCTTTTTTTTTTTTAATTTTCAGAAGAAAATAGTGAAGAAACGTATGAAGATATCTACAAAACAAAGAGCAACTATTCAAAGATAGAGTAAGTTTATCTCTTTCTTGGCTTCATAGCTTATGGTACTTCCTGTTAGTCTAGGAAAACCAGAGTTTAAGAAAGGATCCCCTTCCCTGCCCCTACCATCTGTAGGGAGGATTTGCATAGAGATAGTGGAGATAAGCTATTGTAATACTCCATTGTGACCAATAGGATACCTGTAATTGTGTACAATCACATGCTATAATTTTTAATCACATTGCTTTCTCTTTTGAGAAAATGTCCATTTCCCAGAGCAGAGGACTTTGATATTGTGTTTGGGAATAAGTGAGAAAGGAGAAAGAGGAGTTGAGAAGGCATTTTCTTGCTCTTCCTTGAGTGGGATGTGTTTTAGAAAGGAGACTGAAGCCTCTAGTCCTTTTGACTACAATAGTTCCCCATCTCTAGTACTCTCTCAAACGCCATGTTGTTTATATCCTCTGATTCCTCTTAGTTTAGATGGAAAAGAAGCTCTTAAAAGACTGCAAAGATTTTTCAAGAAAGAAAAGGATAAATTTAAAATGAAGAAAGCCAAGTCGAAAGAAAATGTAAGGTAAAAAGTCTCTTTTTATCTCTCTTTCCAAGAGAGGATTAGCAGTGTTGGCCTGGTAGTTACACGGCTTGATGTTCTCCATTCTGTTCCCAGAAACAGTGAAGGGATTTCAGAAACTAGAACCAAAGGCCCTGGTTATCACCCGCTCCTTGCCAATTTTTGAGTGAACCACACCGACAAGATACAATGAGAAAGTGACAATGTTCCTTTTGAAAAAATTGATGAGAAAAGGTTGTAAACAAGGGTAGAGGGAAAGTCTTAATCAAGCAAAGTCCAGAAAGGAAACTTTCCTCATTACCCTTGGCATATATTCCTGTTGATATCACTAAGCATTATGTTATTAATTATGTCCTTTTATGCTTTCTTAGCCCTACAAGTTCCAGTGGTTTTATTTGTCTACACTTCCATATTCTAATTTGCCTCTCTTAAGCGAGGCAATGTATGGAGAGCGGAGATGAACATTTCAGCTGAATGGTCTGTGTATCTCAAGGTCTTAGACTTGGAAATAACCCTCCAAGATCACCTCAGCTAATTACCAATGTTTGGGAAGGTTACCAATTCACTGGGAGTAGAAAGAGATGAGAGGTCTAGCTTCTGGATTCTAGTTTCAGCTCTTCCTTTTATTTAATGTGCAACCATGAACAGATCACTTCCTTTTTGCACCCATAGGGCTCAAGTTTCTTTTTGCATACAATGGAAGGGAGACTAGGTAGTCTCTGGAGTCGCTTCTCTCTCTAATCTATAGATACTGACATAGAGATATAGAGATAGAGATCTGTATTTTATGAGCATAGGGGATGGTAATATAATTTTCCCCAAGTCATTACATATATTGACATGGAATTATGTTATTCTACCTTGAAGTTCTTTTCAATTCTAAAACCTCAAAGTTATGTGATTTTAAGTCTAATTGTCTGTTGGATCTAGATCTACCAACAGATCCAACAGAACATGGGGTTTATAAATTGTAGCCCTGACCAGGGAAGAAGAGGGAGTTTAGCTCCAGTGGTCAATGAGATCTAAAGGTAGACTCCAGTCTTAGCAGGTTAGACACTTCTGACAAAATTAGGATAATACCTGCAGTCCCTTAAATTTGATCTAGGTAAGAATGCTGATGTTTTTAAAATGCAAATCTGATTTTCTTTTTCTTAGAACTATTCAGTGACTCCCGATGACTTTTACAGCAAATACCCAGTCCCTTTCCATGGCAGTAAATACTCTTATGGCCGCCCCCTTCCTACTTGTCCAGCTCCATCTCTCACTCAAATTTACTCTCACCCCCACCCCATACACATACCCTATAGATCTGACTCTGCCATGGTGTTTCATGCCTCCTTGCTTTTAACCATGACATTCCCTTGATCTGGAATGCACTGCCCTCCTCCAGCCTCCTTGATTATCAAAGTTCTAGTCTCCCCTTAAAATTTGGTCAAATTTCATCCCTTCTGGCCCACCATCCCTGAACCTCTCTAGCCAAACCTGGATTATTTGTCTTTCTTCTGTGTTCCCATGACATCCTGTGCATGTCCTGTAACATCTATTAATACTACTGAGAAACCCTTTTTCTTAGAGCAGAGACTCTCAAGGTAAGAAGAGAAATCCATGTTACCTAGTCCAATGCACTACACAAGCTTCTCGGCACGTTTCCTAACAAGCCAAGTCTCTGTGCCTCCACACCTCTATAAAGGAGCAATCCACAACACGCAGAGAAAGATCCTCCATCTTTAGGAAGGTCTATTAAGATTTGTTCCCTTAAACTTGCCAAAATCTGCCTCTCTACCTTAAATTTTTAATTAATAGCATGTAGACATGCCAAGATAATACAGAATTTTGTTTACTTGTTTGTTTACCTTTTGTTGAGCCTTTTGATTAAGGGCTCCTCTCTTGAACACCAACTCCTAGTTCATTGCCTTACTTTCAGAAGGAGGTTGCAACCATGAAAATGTGACATTTAAAAAGAGTAAGGACTCCCAATCGTTTCTCCCCCTGCCCCCACACTGCCTTTTAGGATAGTCGTTATTAAATGTCCTGATGGAGGCATAAATAAACCAAGAATTAAATGCCACCAGTCTTAGCTATGCTGTAAGTTTTATTAAATGTTAAACCTTTTCTCACTCCCTCTGTTCCAGATGCACTGACTTCCTTGCTCTTCTTTAAACAAGCCAAGCACACCTCGGCTTGAGGTCTATGCATTTGCCGTTCCCTCTCTGAGAAACACACTTCCCCTAGATATCTGTGTGGCTCCCTCCCTCCCTTCAAGTCTCTGCTCAAAAGTCACCTTATCAGTGCAGTCTTCCCTGACAATCTTCTGAAAAATGGGAAACCAACCCTCACCTCCAGCCCTCCTGTCCCTTACCCTGCTCTATTTTTCTCAATTGCACCTATCTCCATACATTTCCTTACATGACAGAACATAAATTTCCTATTTTCTCTCTGCCTCACTCTACTAGAATCCATGAGGGTAGGGATTTTGACTGTGTTGTCCACTGCTGTTATCTCCAACATAAAGAATAGTGGCTGGGACATAATAGACACTCAATAAATACCTGCTGCATGAATAAATGACCTAGAGGAAGGAAATATCACTCTACATTTTTTGTGGCCTCTGTTTCTATGTTTAAATAAGAGCTACCAGCACCCTGACCCAATTAAAAAGGAGTGAAGAAAGGCTTCTTTGAGCAAGGGGCCCTTGAATGCAGGATATGTGCTAATAGGTGTGGGGGCAGGGGGTGCACTAAGTGCTTCCCACGTGTCATCTCTAATCCTCACAATAATCCGTGAGATGGAAACTTGTTTCTCCAGGGCTGGCCCCGTGGCGTAGCGGTTAAGTGCGTGCGCTCTGCTGCAGGCGGCCTGGGTTCGGAGCCTGGGCGATCCTGGGTGCACACTGATGCACCGCTTCTCAGGCTATGCTGTGGCGGCGTCCCATATAAAGTGGAGGAAGATGGGCACGGATGTTGGCCCAGGGCCAGTCTTCCTCAGCAGAAAGAGAAGGATTGGCATGGATGTTAGCTCAGGGCTGATCTTCCTCACAAAAAAAAAAAAAAAGAAAGAAACTTGTTGCTCCATTTCATAGATGGAAAATGAAGCCTTTGAAAAGTTATGAGTCTTGCCCAGGGGAAGTGGCTAAGTGGCAGAAAGGAGAGTCAAATCCAGCTCTCTGACTCCAGTGACTATGTAATTCCTCTCCCCCATCCTGCATACCGAATCCTGACAGTGTCTGGTCTGGTCTTACAGACCCTCACAGCAGGGATCACTGATCATCAGCTCTGTCCCAGGCATATGCTCTTAGGTGCACTCACCCAACACAAAGGTGACTCTATAGGATAGGTGCTGGTATTCATCTAGAAATGAAGGACTGAGGCTGACATGAAGGTTAGCTGATTTTCCCGGAAGTGCTGTGCCTTAGGACATTCCTTTATGATGTCCTTATCACAAAGGCTTGTGTGAATTTACTTTTGGTCTCCCTCATTAAACCCAAGCTACTGTAGGACAGAAATTGTGTCTGATCATTCTGTATACTCAGCACATGGGCCTGGCCTGTAGTGAGTATCCCCAACATACCTGTAGGACTGAAGTTAAATTAATTGCTTAAAATACATGGATTTTTTTTCTACCACATCATAATTCCTTCCACGTGATCTCCTTAACTGTGAGATTTGAGGAGAATCAAACAATCTACCTGGGCCAAATATCCTCTCCCATTTAGCAATTCACCATCCTCCATTTCCCCTGGCCTGGAATTCTCCCCTCAAGTCATCCCTTTGGCTTAAACATGTACACAGTTAGGGTCCAGTGTCTCCAGGGAATTGTCTTCTCTCTCTCCACACTTATCCCACATCGGATGGATCTGATTGGCATCTTGGAAGGTCAGAAGGCAGAAACAGAATGCTGTGGATGGAGAAGAGCATCCATAGGGCTGTGGCACAGCCCGAGGTTTTCTAGTTAGGAAGGGGGTACAGGTGATCACTGGGGACTAATAAGCTCATTTTTAAAAGATGGGGAAGTGATCAGAACAAAGCTGCAGGAAAGGTTTGCTTCACTTCTTTACCAAGAAACATCTGTATCAAGAAACCTAGTCATCAATATGTTATTTGAGATGTATCAGCTAATTTTTCTGAACATGGCGTTTTCCCTTAACCCTTTTGTGTCTTTTGTCAATCAACAGTGCATTTTCCATTTCGCTGCCTGATTTAGGTAAGTGACATTGCTTATTGCTGGCATAAAACTACTCAGCACTGGCAGATTCAGGGACAGGGAAAGAGAAGCAGTAATCCTTCCTGCATTCCACATTTAATGAAAAATTGATACATCAAAATCAAAGAAAACATTTTATACAACAGTATTATTTATTTTGGGGAAGATGAGTAACATTTCTCAAGTGCCTACTAGATATCAGGCCTCTTAAAATACCAAAGAAATAGATCTTATCACCCCTTTTTAGGGAGGCTCCAGGACCCACATCCATACTTCAGTGTTCTGGGATTTGTACTCGTCTATCTGCATTTTACCTTATATGTACCACACAGCCTCTTGAAGGATTCGACAACCAGATCACTGTAATTACAATATGATAAATTGAACATGATCAATTAGTCCACATACTAATTGAATTAAGCATGACCATTGGACTGTTGTTTGCTTTGCTATAAAAATAACAGTGTGCAAAGGAGCACGGTGCCTGACGCATAGTATGCTCTCAATACCTGTTCAGTAAGTTGAATCTGTCAGTAAAAGAGGGCCATGAGTTTTGCTGTTTGTTGGTTTTTCTTTTGGGGCTCTAGCCATGGTAGCTACTTTGATTTCACTCTGACTTGGCAATTCAAATGTATATTATATTCCACAAATATGAGTTGGCTGAACTAAATAACAAACGAAGATTCTATAAACCTGTAAAATCATAGATCTCCCAAAATATCCTTGGTGTATGTAAAAAAAAAAAAAAAAAAGGCCAACTTAGAATAGGCATGCATTGTACTCCCTTCCAAACTTATGAATAATTGAATACAAATTATGAATAAATATGCCAGAAGGTCTCAAACTCGTCCAGGTGGTGAATCACTTGAACATTATGGAATTCTATATAGAGCACCAAGGAATGTGAATATCCTAAACTGAAAATGTGTAATTATGATCACGCACTAAGTCAGATTCAACTTTATGAAAGATTATTATAAAGGAGCAGTTGCCAATGGTTTGAAATAAAAATCATGGAAGAAAAATCAACATTAATATTCTATTAAACTGGATTTTTCCCTGTAGGAATTAAGAAAAACTCTCTCACTATTCTAGCAATATAATATGTTTGTCCAGTTTTAAGGCGTTGGGAACCTAGTCTAAAAATGATCCTTTTAGCAGTTCATACATCTGGAGATCAGCATGAAATCAAATTGATATAAATATATATGTGTGTGTGTGTGTTTGAGATTCTAGGGCATCAATTTTTTTAATCCCTCAGTTGGATTTCTTCCAAAATGGACAATCTTTTTGTTCTTTGATCCTTCTACCTTATCTGCATTCTATGATCAGAATTTCATAAAACAGGCTTGGGGATGCACCTGGATAATTAGGTAATTGTGTATAATTTAGAAAGCCAGGGATTGTATAAACCATACCTAATAATGGACTATTTTGATCCTATCTTGACCCTAGAACTTAGGTCTCAAGAAGCTATTATCTATGATGATGTGGACATACATGAAAAAGAGTCAAAGTAAGTCAACGTACCTCATTGGTCATCCCTGCTGTTGAAGCCATTTCCTGATGCTTTGTTAAATATGGTCAGAGGGCCATCTCTTCCGATCCTTAGATACTGGATAAAAAGTCAACTTGTGATAGTGCCCCCCACCAAGAAGGGAAAACAATGAATAACATAGATGATCTAACAGCAGTAGGTGATTCAAAAGTCACTGGAGCTTTGGAATCTGTTTGTTTCTTATCTTTGAATCTAGAGATTTGAAACTCATTTCAACAAACACTTATTTAATAACCCATGTACAAGGCAACATAGAGGATAGCAAGCACTCTCTGACAGAACCTATGTTCTCAAAGGCTCAATAACTATAATCTATTGAAAAAGAAAGCACCCGAAACTCAATGCCCCCTCTCTAGCTATTTGTTATCTGTCTTTTCCCTCTCAATTAAATGGCTGAAAATAAAGCTCTCGTCTGCTCATCTTTCCAAGCTCACTGCAGCTGGACTTCTGTTCCTATGATACCAGTGAACTTACTTTTGGTAAGGTGACTAATAACTTCTTTGTTAAATCCAATGGATACCTTTAAGTCCTTACCTTACTTGGCTTCTCTAGAATATCTTAAACTGTTGACTATGCCATCCTTCAAAGGAAAAAAATATTAGCTTTTCCCCAGGTTTCCATGTTATCATTATTTCTTACTCCTCGTCTTTGGCTGTTGCTCCTCCAAACTGTTTGTTTTTGGTTTTGTGTATGTGTGAGTTCTAATTCTAACATTCATCTCTTTAAAACTTATGTGTTCCTGGGGCCACCCAGTGGCACAGTGGTCAAGTTTTCATCCTCCACTTTGGCGGCCTAGGGTTCGTGAGTTCAGATCCCGGGTGTGGACCTACACACCACTCATCAAGCCATGCTGTGGCAGTGTCCCACATACAAAATAGAGGAAGACTGGCACAATGTTAACTCAGGGACAATCTTCCTCAAGCAAAAACAAGAGGATTGGCAATGGATGTTAGCTCAGGGCCAATCTTCCTCACCGCCCCCCCCAAAAAAATTATATATTCTTCAGATTTCCTATTTCAGTTCTTCCTTTATATGTTCTGGAATGATCTCATCCACATCTAGGGCTTTAATTATAATCATTATGGTAATGATATCAAAATTTTGAGATCAGATTTCTCTCCTCTACTCTAATAAGCCTGCTGGATAACTCTATTTGAAATTCACAATTCTAGGGCTGGTCCCGTGGCTTAGCAGTTAAGTGCGTGTGCTTCGTTGCTGGCGGCCTGGGTTCGGATCCTGGGCGCGCACCAACGCACCGCTTCTCCGGCCATGCTGAGGCCATGTCCCACATACAGCAACTAGAAGGATGTCCAACTATGACATACAACTATCTACTGGGGCTTTGGGGGAAAAAATAAATAAATAAAATTATAAAAAAAATATATATATATATATAAAAAAAAAGAAAATCTTAAAAAAAAAAAAAGAAATTCACAATTCCATAATGACTCATAATCTCAACCCTCCCCATCCAAATATGGTCCCTTTCTTCTAATCTCTGTGTTGGTGATTGTTTCAATAAACACAGTTGCCCAAACCAAAACCCTAGGCGTTGTCCTTGACTCCTCCTTCCTTCCTGCCGTGCAGCCTCTTCTGTTCCAATGACTCTGAAAACGTTCCCACTTCTCCATCCCTGCTGCACAGCCATGATGCAGGTCCTCATTTCTTCTCAGATGCACTGCTGCAACAACTTCCTGAATGGCCACCTCACCTCCACTTCAGTTGATTCTTCAGACTTTCTAAAGTGCAAATGTGATCATGTCACAAAACTCACCATCCACCAGCTTTAAAATGGTTAGTGGTTGTCCATCGCTCCCAGAATGAAACCCAAACTGCTTAGGAAGACATAAAATTCATTAATGATCCAGGCCCTGGTAAACTCTCAGCCTCACCTGTACTTCCCACTCACCTACCATCCTTGTGTTCCATCCATACTATACTACTCAGAGTTCCTTGAACTCAACAAGCTGTCCAGCATCTCGAAAGCTTCACATTTGTTCCACACTCATCAGTTCATTCAACCAATATTTATTGAGCATGTACTATATGCCAGGCATTGAGTATAAAGCAGTGAACACAACAGATATAATTCCTGTTTCTGTCTGATTGGAGAGACAGACAAATAAATAAAAAATAAAACTATAATTATACATTGGAATTTGGTTGCTTTGACTATTTTGAAAGAGAGTGGACATAGGGTGTGTGTGTTGGGAGCAGATTGGTAGTCATTTTAGAGTAGATAGCTGGGAAGGCCTCTCCAAGGACATGAGAATTTAAGAACAAGAGAATGGGGGCTGGCCTGGTGGTGTAGTGGTTAAGTTCACATGCTCCGCTTCAGCAGCCCAGGGTTCACAGGTTCAGATCCCTGGTGTGGACCTACACACCACTCATCAAGCCATGTTGTGGCAGTGTGTCACATACAAAATAGAGGAAGATTGGCACAGATGTTAGCTCAGGGACAATTTTCCTCAAGCCAAAAGAGGAAGATTAGCAACAGATGTTAGCTCAGGGCCAATCTTCCTCACCAAAAATAGGTAGGTAGGTAGGTAGGTAGGTAGGTAGATAGGTAGGTAGGTGGGTAGGTAGGTAGGTAGATAGATAGATAGATAGATAGATAGATAGATAGATAGATAGATAGATAGATGGATGATAGGCCAGCCTGGTGGTATAGTGGTTAAGTTCACGTGCTCCACTTCAATGGCCCAGGGTTCATGGGTTTGGATCCCAGGCACGGACATATACACTGCTTGTCAAGCCATGCTGTGGTGGTGTCCCATATACAAAATAGAGGAAGATTGGCACAAATGTTAGCTCAGGGACAATCTTCCTCACCAAAAAAAAGAACACAAAAAAATGGTTTTACCTGTAACACACTTTGCCATGCATTTTGCCTGGTTAACTATTTTATCCCTCATTATTTAAAAATGAATTCAGATTTTTACTTCTGTCCGTATCTATCTGGGTTAGGTACCCTTTTTTTATCAGAACATTTTTCTCATAGTTGTAGTGTCTTATTTCTTGCCTGTGTCCTCCTCTATATGGGAACTCCCTCAGGTAGGGAATGTGGCTTCCCAATTGTATCATGTGGCCTCATACCATAGCATAGTTTGTTAAATCAGTTAGCAAAGAAATACCTGCTAAAAAATGTGCAAAATAATCTGGAAGCTCAGAATAGGTGGCCATTTCCATTATTTAGGGGATGAGAATAGTCTCTATGCTGAGTTGAAGCAGGAAGGATAGGTAACATTTTGACGGATGGAGACTAGGGATCAAGAAGAGAGGCAGAGGGGAGGGTATGCAGGTAGAGGGGTGTGTGGACAACTTTGTAAATGGAAACACGTGTGTTTGGGTAGTTGCATTGGACCATAAGGCACATGAGCGGGAAGGAGGGTGTTACAAAGCAGGAAATATAATTTAGCATGAGGTGGAGGAGGGCCCTGGAATATCAAATTAGAGTTAAGAATGAATTCTTTTTCTTAAAAATACATTATGTGATATTTATAAAAATCAAAAGAAAGCAAGAAACCTATGTAAGTTGCATGATAAAATAAATTCCCCTGGACCCATCAGTCAACCTCAGAACTAGAACATAGCCAGTGCCTTGGCTTCTCTACCTTGCACACATCCCCTAGCCTATCTCATTGCCTTTTCCCCAAAGTAAACCACTCTCCTAAACTTTGTGCCTTTCATGTCCTGTTCAAAAAAAAAATAGTGTTATCAAACACAGATGATAAAAATATATTCTTCATTTGGAACTTGAACATTATAAAAATGGTATCATGCTATATATAGAATTGGGCAACTTCTTTTTTTTCTCAAATAAAATCCATCCCTTTTTTACCACTGTAGTTCATTTATTTTTACTGTTCTATAATATTCCATCGTATGTATATACCACAGTTTATCCATTCTCCTGTAGGTGGGTATTGGGGTAGTTCTGATTTTTTTACACTTATGAATAATAATGCTACAAATATTTTTATTCATGTCTCCTGTGAACATGTGCAAGAATTTTTCCAGAGATATATATACTTAGAAGAGGGGAGAAATGCAAATTATATTGTTTTCCAAAGTGGTTGTACCAATTCACATTCTACCCAGCAATATACAAGGGGAATATTGATTCACATTCTCACCAACACTTAGCACAGAAAGAATTCTTCCATTTGCCAATTTAGTGCTTATAAAATACTATTTCATTGTGGTATTAATTTGTATTACCTTCATTACTAACAAGGTTGAAACCCCTTTTCATATGTTTATTCACCATTCATGTCTTTCCTTCTATAGAAGACATGTTCATATCTTTGCCTGTTTTTCTGCTGGATTACCGGTCTTTTTCTTATTTGTAGACAAGAGTTTCTTTATGCATTCTGGATACTACTCCTTTGTCAGTTATATGTGTTGCAAATATCTTCTCCCACTTTGTAGCTTGACTTTTCAACTTCAAGTCTTCTGATGAATAGAAATTCTTAATTTTAATATATTTGAATTTGTCAATTTATCTTTTATGATTTTTGTTTTCTATATCTTTTAAATAAATCTTTATCCCTAGATCATGATATTCTCCCATATTTTCTAAAACTGTTAAAGTTTTGCCTTTTACACTTAAACCTTAGCTCTATCTGGAACTGATTTTTGTATTTATAGTGAAGTAGAGATCCAATTAAATTTTTTTCCACATGGATAAATGTCCTAGCATGAATAATTGAATAGTCTCTATTTTCCCCATTGGTCTGCAATGCCATCTTTGTCATAGCAAGTTTCCATATATCTGAAGGTCTATTTCCATGCTCTCTGTTCTATTCCAGTGTCCTTTCTATCTTAATTGCATTGTGGTCTGAGAAAGTACTTAATATGATATTAGTATGCTGAGAAAGTAGTTGATTTCAGTACCTTGACATGTTCTGAGACATGATTCACGTGTAGTATGTGGTCAATTTTTGTAAACGTTCCATGGGCGCTTCAGAAAAATATCACTTCTTTCATTGTTTGATACAGGGATCAATTTATGTCCTTTAAATTAAACGTGTTAATTCTCTTGTTAAAATCTTCTGTAGATTTATGAATTTTTAGATGCTTGATTCATCAATATTTGAGAAAAATGGGTTGAAATCTCACACAAAGATGGTAGTTTTGTTAGCTTCTTCCAAAAGTTCTATCATCATTTTTTGCTTTATATATTCTGATGCTCTTTTATTAGTTGCATACAAAATTAAAAGTATCTTCTAGTGAACTGTTTCTTCATTGTGTTTTAGCCATCTCTATCCATAATACTATTAATGAAAATAATACTTATATAGCTCTTACTGTGGGTCAGTCACTGTTTTATACATTTAATATATGTTTACTCATTCAATCTTCATAACAATCCTGTGAAGTAGATACTATTATTATACAAATTTTATAGAAGAGAAACAGAGGTTAAGTTACGTCCCCAAGCTCACATAGCTAGTAAGTGGTAGAACCAGGAATCCAACTCAAGCAACTGGACTCCCAATCCATTCTCTTTCCTACTACACCATGCTATATCTCCTAGTGATACTCTTTGTCTTAAAGTCTAATTTGCCCGATATTAATACACTTACTTGCCTTTCTTTTAGTCAGTATTTGCCTAGTATACATTTTTGATCCTTTAATTGTCTATTTTCCATATTCTATTATTTTCAGTCACTGTGTCTCCTATAAATAGCAAAGAGCTGAATTTGGCTTTTTAAAAAATCCAATATGACAATCTGTCTTAACTCCTACCTTGCCCTTGATCTGAGGTTCAGCCTTCTGAAATATCTGTGGTGCTGATACTAGCATTTTCCTCAGGACAAACTTGCCTTTTGTGCTTGCATGCTGCTTACTGCTCTCTGTTCTGGTTTCAGCTTATTTGGTGGGGGTACTGTGTGTAATACTCACTCTAAGTGTAAAGGGTACCAATTTGTTAAAACAAAACAAATGAAAAAACTTTTATTCAGGATCTAGTCATTTTGTATTGGGAGCCCCTTTCAGAATATTCTTCTGCTCGACTGTCAAGTGAGGAAGTCCAGAAGAACTCTGAACAAGAGGAGAATATCATCAGAGTCACACTTCAGGAAGAGTAATCCGACCCTTCAACAGAATACTTTGAGAGAAAGCCAGAAATTGGACATATGTTAGAATATAGTTACAATCGCTTAGGTGAAAGATGATCAAAATGTGTTCTAGGGCAGCTAAAGAAATGAAGGAGAGGAGAAGATATTTCAGGGGAGAACTTAAGAGGATTTTATTAAATTGTGAAATCTTTTGGTAGAAACCATATCCTCTTCATCTCTATTATTCAGCTCCTAATATAGCACTTAAGATATGGTAGGTACGTAAGGAATATTTTATGACTAAATGATATTTACCAAATCATTTAGCCCTATTATAGTGTGACCAATTTCTTTTTCATGTGATAAAGTAAATCTTTGGTAATTTGGCCTCAGAGAAACCAATTATTAAAGGATTTGTAGCGATGGAACATTGATGGAAAGTAGCAGAATTTGGAATGAGAAGAGAGAGGGAAGATGATACCTGAGTTCTTGTAAGCTTGGCTAGTCTGCATGTCATGTCTTGGTAGGTATTAGATTAAGGAGTAGCCTAAACAGCTCTGGATTAAATTGTTGCTAGATAATCCAGACTTCTCTTTTTGTTTCACTTCGTTTTGTTCATTAGAACACCTCCTAGAGTCAGTGAGGGGATGAAGAAGAGGGAGAACTTGGAAAGGACATGGGAACAGCTTCTACAACTTGGCACCAGTGAGACATGTGGCATGTCATCTTACTTTTCTGAACCTTAGTTTCTTAACCTTTAATATGGCAGTAACAATCCCAATTCTGCCAAATTCATTAAGCTCTCTAACTGGATCCCTAGAAAAGCTAAAGTAAGTTGACACAGAGGCAAAGTTGACCATAATGTTCAGATGGCTAGCATGGGTATACCATGGTATGATGATCTCCCTGAAAGAATAATTTGGCAATATGTATCCAAAATGCCCATACCTTTTGCTTAACCCAATAATTTCACTTCAAGCAATTAGCTCTAATGAAAAAATAATGGGAAAATGAAGAAAAAAAATTTATGTTCAGAAATGTCTATCTCAGAGTTATTTATAAAAAGGAAGTGCTTAAAACAGCCCAAATATCCAAATATACAATACTTTGCTAAGTATATTATAGTGTAGTACTCACCGTGACCATTTAAATACATGCTAAATATGCAGTAAATAGTTTTCAGTGACATGGAGAGATGGTTATACTTATGATGACAATTGAAAAATAGCAAAATGCAAAATTATATGTACAGTATGATCTCAATTCAGTTTTTAAAAGTTCTTAGAAACATGTCTAGAAGGAAAGTTGGATGTCTTTGAGAGGTCAGATTATGCTTATTTTGTCTCTTTTCTACTTCTGGTTCCAATTGTTTAAATACTCTGGATATACTGCTTTATAATCAGTAAAGAAAATAAGCTTTATTTTATTTTTTTTGGTGAGGAAGATCGGCCCTGAGCTAACATCTGTTGCCAATCTTCCTCTTTTTGCTTGAGGAAGATTGTCGCTGAGTTAACATTTGTGCCAACCTTCCTCTATTTTGTATATAGGATGCCGCCACAGCATGGTTTAATGAGCAGTGTGTCGGTCCGCACCTGCTGCCACCAAAGTGGAGGGCGCAAACTTAACCACTACACCACTGGGCTGGCCCCAAAAATAAGCTTTTAAGTAGGCATTTGCCCTGCCTGTTCCCTGCCCTCACAGCTATAGCTCCTTCCAAACAAGTCCATGCCTGAGTTCTCACTGAACACTTGATAAATGCCTGCACTGTGCTGAGCTTGTGGGGGACACACTGGAATACCTGCCTGGATCCAGTCTTCTGGGAACCTAAAGTGGAGAGAGAACAAGTGGCCATCAGACAGTTAGAAAAGGAGTAACTGCTGAGCTGCTTGTTGCAGACTCCCAAGGCAACAGACGTTGAGGAGACAGAGGGACAGAGATCCCTGGACAAGGCCTGGAAGGCTTCTTAAAAGCCTTCCCTAAGCTGATCTTCAATGCTGCTCAAAAGCTGAGTCCTTGACATTCTGTTGGACACTCATGACCGTAATCTGAAGGAAATGGTGACACAATGTCTCTGAAACTCTTAGAAATTCCTCTGACATAACATCCCTGTGGTTCTGATTTACCTAGTGTTCAGGTGTGCAGACACCACAGACATATAGATGGTTGATGGAGTAGGGTCCTGTTTTGCTCATATCAATGATGGACATATTGGTCACTTTGTCATGCCAGCAAAGAAATGTTTTGAAGCAGCAGGCATGATGAAAGACCAAAGACTTTGGATTCATAGTCACTATTTCCATGACCAGGATAAGTTACCCAGTTCTCTGATCATGCATTTCCTATTTTGTAAAACTACATGAATGACTACCTTAAAGGATGGCTGCAATGCTTACTGTGAAAACAAAATTAGTTAACATCCATAAAGTGCCTAGCATAAGACTCAATACATAGCTGCTCAAAAAGTATTCATTCTATGATACCCTGTCCCTTCCCTGCGTCCTCTTCTACTAATGCTAAACACTAGCTGGGGGCCGGCCCCACGGCTTAGCGGTTAAGTGCGCGCGCTCTGCTGCTGGCTGCCCGGGTTCGGATCCCGGGCACGCACAGACGCACCGCTTCTCCGGCCATGCTGAGGCCGCGTCCCACATACAGCAACTAGGAGGACGTGCAACTATGACATACAACTATCTACTGGGGCTTTGGGGGACAATAAATAAATAATTAAAAAAAAAAAACACTAGCCGGATCAGTCTTGTCTCATAGTGAAGGTTATTAGTATTATTATTCACATCTTAGAGGTGAAGAAACTGAGGCTCAGAAAGGAGAGGAAGTGTGATTATAATTAGGCTGATCTCTTGCTTTTGGCTTCAAATTTGGATCACTACAGACCAGTGGTGAGCAAACTATGGTCTGTGGGCCGAGTACGGCTGGCCACTTGTTTTTGTAAATACAGTCTCAACAGCAGAGTTGAGTAGTTACCATACCAGATGGTATGGCTTGCAAAGCCTAAAATATTTACTATCTGGCCTTGCAACAGATTATCAAAATATACTTCTAGATGACTTGTAAATCTTTTTGTAAAACATAATTGCCCAAAAAGTACTGATGGTTCCATAAATGTTTTAGTTCTATCTTAATTTGCTTGCTCAAAATATTTTTCTCCTCAGAGATGAAGATAAACTTAAAACGTGGAAGCCCAAGTTTTTGATACCAAAGGAAAAAAAAGAGAAAAAAGGTGCTGAAGAATCAGAAAGGTAGGCACACAGGTGTACTTACCTTACAGCTTATCTGTTGCAATTTATACCTCTTACTAGCTGTGTGACCTTAGACAAGTCATTAGATTTGATTTTCAGGTTCCCCATCTACAAAATGAGAATAATAATACATACATTATAGCACAGTTGAGAGGATTAAAAGAGAAAGAATAGGAAAATGTAAAGTGTCACAAACATGATCATCATCATCATCCCTGCTTTTGGTGGATGGGGAACGAGGAAAGATTTCAAGCCAGCCCTTATCAAACGATGAAAAACTTGACAGTCTTTTAGACTGTAAGAACATTTTCCCTATAAGATAGAACTTAAATAATACACCAGTTAGAACTTAAATGAAACTTTAAGAGAAACTAGATATCATGTAGTAAGACTGATTTCCCTAAATTACAATATAATTCTAGTTATGACAACATTCGTTAGAACTAAAAAAAAAATGTTTTATCAAAATCTAACTTCATTCATGTGATTAACGTTCCCAGTTTGGGAGGTGTTGTTTTTTACTGTCTCAGACGGTTCCTTAGTGGTCTGTGCTCCAGTCCTCTCCTCAACAGCTAGGACATGGGGCAGGATCTGAGGTACTTGAACAGACGTGTTGGGGAAATCCTTGTCTAAATAGCACTGAGCTGGGAACACTGTGTGGTCTGTCTGCTCTGAGAAACCTGAGTCTAGAAAAGTCCTACAGGGGCACCCCAAAAGAAATCAGACATCAGTCTATGTCAAATTTAAACTCACAGGATGGCATAGGATGGCCCCTCCCTTAAGTTTTCTTTAGGTTTAGACTTGATGTAATTTATTTTTCCCACGTTGGAAAAGTGTACTCACAGACGAGAAAAACATCTGTCCACCTTAAACTTCATGCTCTTACATACTTTTGCATAGCATAGCAAAACAGAATTCCAAAAGAGGAAATATCAGTGAAGTTTTTGACTCCCACCCAAAAAAGCTTTTTAGTATTTTAATGACTACACATAAGTCTTTTTAGGAAACAATTTTCTAGTGCTTTTCTATTTCTTACAACAAACTGATTTATTCTCAACTGAGTGAATTTGAAAATGCTATCATTATTCCTGTAGATTGATGCATCAATTTCTATGTGCTCTTTGTTCCTTTTTAAATGGTTTCTACCATAACTTATTCTACCAATAAGAAATGCTTTCTATATTCGTTCAATCCTTTTATTATCCCTTTATTAATCAAAGATGATGACAAGATTTCAGAGAAGTTGAGGAAGAGTATCCCAGGTGTGAAGACATGGAAATCAGAGCCCACCTTCTAAGATGTTCCATGTGGACTTTGTATATACATGGAAAAGGGCAGCTGGAGAGGAACACTGGGGCCAGATTATAAAATGTCCTGTGTACCACGCTAAGGAATGTGACTTTATCTTATAGGCAGTAGAGACAGATTGAAAGGTTTTAAGCAAGAGTGGCATGATCAATTAAATTTTAGAAAGATGACTCTGGAGGCAGGTATGAAGATGATTTGAGAGAGGAGAGACCAGAGGAAGATGGTATTTCAGGCAAGAGGGAAATATGGCAGTGGCTGGAATCCTGGACAGAACGAAACAGATGTAGGAGACACTGCTGAATAAAACTGACAAGATCTGCTTGACTAAATTTTTCCTTCTGTCAATTTTTTAAACTGCTAAACAGCAGCCCCAACCCCCATGTGAAGCACAGGGGAGCAACAGGGAGGAGTCATGGTATCGTCAGCCTCTGCTGCAGGGTTGTCGACTTTTACATGCTAAGAATTTTGCACATATTTTGCAGCATCTTGCTTTATTTTCTTAATTCTATCCTTCTCCAAATCATTCAGCAAACACAACAGTTCTTTGATTAAGGCATAGACTTGTGATTCCCCAATTAGGCTTGACAACTTGGAAAACCACGAAATGTACGCCATTTACCCTTACTGTTTTCCATTAAATAATCTCAAGAGTGGAAAGATTTATAAATTTCCTAAGTTTCTTTTTTTTAACAAGTTAATTATGCTTCTAAATTTGATTCAGAGAAGTTTCTTGTTTAACTTAAATTGACCAACTTGATTTTATTCCAAATTATCCCGCTATCAAAAAAATTTTTCTCTAATTGTAGGGGAGGGCAATTGGTATTACTAACCCTGTGCAGCTGTTTTGAGTCTGCTCTGGAGATGTGTGTGCATGCAGATGCACACACATATACACATACGTATATAATACACACATAAATGATTGTATATAAAATTATACACATACACAAAGTTATACTTGAATTTATTCCAAAATAGAATGAGTTTATAGATTTGGAAACTTAGAGTTTTATTATTGTACATTTAACCCCATTGCATACTTCTTCCCAGTTTATCTCCTAGAAATTTCTTCAGAACCAAGAAGCAAAACTTAGAAAAGAACAGAATGGAAAGAGAAGAAAAACTTTTCAGAGAAAGATTTGAGGTATGTTCTCCTCTACATTAGAGCCTGGAATTTCTATTTTTAAAGATTCTGTCAGTGTGTTGCACCTCTTCCTCTCTGGGATAGACATAATCTTTGACTTAACAGGTGATGTTTTTATTTTTCCTGATGCATTTCTATATTATCATGCCTTTGTACATGCTATTCTCTCTGCCTGGAAAAACTCCTAAGCTGCTCTTTACGGCTCTGTTCAAATGTCACCCACTCTTCCCTAACCCCTCCAGGTAGTTACTCCCTCAGCATATTTTATATATCTATTATACACATATCCGTTATAACACTGATCAATCGTATTACAGCATGTGTGTGTGTTTATATTCTGAACTCTTGAGTCCCTTTTAAAGGAGAGATTTTTGTCTCATCCAAGTCTGCCCCCAGCTCCCAAAATCAAACTGGACAAATAGTGTTCAGTGAATGAATGAATGAAGCAGCATCTGAACCTCCTTGACTCCTTCTTCATTGAGTGAGTCCATGGAGCATTAAATGGTCCTCCCTTCTGATTTCACAAACTGTTGTCACAGTGAGAATTTATTAATTTAAGAAACATATATTGAATACCTACCATGTACCAGACACTGGATTGAGATGAAGTTGTGTATACTGCTCATAAAATTTGTCCAAGTCACTACTCTGCCTAAAATCTTTCAAAAGTTCCCCATTGCCAAATGGATATAGATTAGTTTCTTAACATGGCATATAAAGCCCTTCATGTCATGACCTTTGCTTGTCTTTCTGGTCTTATTTCCTGCCATTCTTCACCTTGCACTTTGTGCTCTGGCAACAAACTGCTCATGGTTCTGTCCCTTGAACGAACATCCACCTCTATCCTTCCTGCTATTTCCTTCCTCTGGGCATTTACTTGGTCTGTTTCAACCGTGTGGTAGACAGAACTCTTGCTACTTTTCTCCATCTGACTGGCTCTTGATCATTTCTCAAGACCCAGTCAAGGCATCTCCTTTCCTCCAGGAAGACTTACCCACACTTGCTGATTAAAGAAATTACTCTTCCTCTGTATACCTATATACCTGAGCAAACCTCTAGCTTATCACAAAACATTAACATTATTGCAATTACATGTTCATCAATTAAACTAGGAGGTCCCAGAGGACAAGGGTTATATTATCCATCTTCATATCCATGTGCAGAGCAGAATACCTAACACTTTGTAAACATCCAAAAATGTTTTGGGGCTGGAACTAAAATAGGAATGTACACAAATTCCTCATAATCATTAATAACTCCTGCTTGGACCAAAGCCGATTAGGGTTACTGTGTCTAGAAATTGTGATATGCAATTATTTACTTCAAACTGTGATGTAAAAGCAAGTGTGTAACAATTACTTGTTGAAAAGACTCTACATTCCATCTAGTGCTTTTCTCCCCCAATGTATTTGTGACTGTCCATATGGGACAGAAACTCCCATTCTCACATGTGTATGAGTCCATTCTTCCTAATTATCTGTGGTGGGTTTCCTTGATATAGCATTAGAAAAACTATGCCATTTCAATAATTTTTATTCAGCTCAAATCACAAAATATTGGATACCTCATATGTGCCAGACATTGAGCATACAAGGATGAATAAAACTGTCTTCCACTTTCATTTTATAAGACAATATGTTTATTAAATGCTATAATAGGAGTATATACAAAGTGCAGTTAAATAGTAAATTATTCACAGCAGTCATGACAGTCTTCATGCAAAATGGTTAAGAGAAAAAAGAGTATTTCAGGCAGAGAAAACAGCACGGAATTATGAAAGGAACAGGGTGTACTCAGGGCTATCATAGAGCTTGACGTGGCTTCCATACAGGGGACAGAGATAGGGGTGTGGGGGATGACCATATGCAAAGGACCTTGAATGTCAAGCTAAGAAATGTGGATCTTTCAGAACTTTATAAAAAGGAAGGTGACCTAATCAGACTTGCATTTTGAAAAAATCACTGTGTATTCACAGGGAACAATGGCCTGGAAAAGTAAGATGAGTTAGGAAGCTATTACTTTGCTAGGCAAAAGACAAATCTATCTTATGGCTCAGATCTCATTTGGTATAGAGTGATCTTATAATTTATCATCCAAATTCAGGACACTTCTGAGAGTAGAAGGAGGCACACCTGATCGTAATAAGAAGTTCTTGTAAATAGAGACATTAGCTATAAATAGAGACTGTCCTGAGCAAAGGGATATGTTTGGCCACTCTAATTTGGTGAAGGAGACATCTGTAAATATAAGCTACATATTCTGGAACTATTTTTTTTTTCCCAGTCAATGGATTTCAGTACATTAGAAGGTGATGTACCTGTAGATGTAGAGGCTGGCTAGTTTATCACACAGAAAAAACTCCCCTGAGGTCAGAAGTTGAATTCCTCAACAGTTTTTTCACAAACACCTGTCTTTGACCACAAAAGGAGAGTGGGAATTGTTCCCCACAGTCCATTCCTACTACGTTAAAATACGTGTGCTATAGCTAGACATAAGAATATATAAGCCCGCCCACAGAGGAAGGATGGAAAGAGTGCCATCTAGAAATGCCAGATATGTAAGAGCATTATAAACTCTAATGTACTACACAGAGGTTTTTCTCTTTCCCTCTTTTTTTTTTTTTTTTAACTTCTCCTTTCCTGGGTTTGGTGGTAACTTTATTACTGGAACAGTTAACATACCACCCACATTACTTAATTTGTACCCATGTTATACCCTTCTCATCTAGAATTCATTCTAGTACAATCAGATAATGGGTGTGAAAACACTTGAAAATATGATCATACCAAACAAATGTAAGATTGTGGCATTTTACTATTATTTCCTTAAATAACTTTCCTTTCACTGACTATTTTGCTATTATTTTCTAGTCCTTTAGATGTTATTTAACTGCTGAATATCTAGCATGTTGGGTTTATTTTGAGGTTACTATATTATGTCCTCCATTAATTTTGCTACAATGAAAAAGAATAAAAACTATGCAAGTATAGTCTGATTAGTAACTTCTCATTTCAGTATGACAAAGAGATTACCGTCATCAACACAGCAGTGGCATGTACCAGTAATTCAAGAAATGGAATATTTGATTTGCCAATAACCCCTGGAGAAGAACTGGAAGTCATTGATATCACTGAAGAAAATCTAGTGATATGTCGCAATTCTAAAGGCAAATGTAAGTTATCGGCTTATCGCCCATAAAATTTCAATCACTGTTTTCAAAAAATCTCAATGAAGCATCATCTCTCTAACTTTCAGATTAGTAATAATGATTTTTGTTTCTATAGATGGTTATGTGCTAATTGAACATCTAGATTTCAAGTAAGTGGTTTGATTTTATACTTCAAATCATGAATTCTAAATACTTAATACATTGCTGTGTACATTCGTCTCAAGGAAAGACTACTGAATTTATTTAAATTCAGGAAAAGTTTTGAAAATTAGACATGCAATGCCCTATTCTATAAGGATTACTTTGGAAGAGATTTTATTATTGTGTCTCCTGAGAATGTTATCAAATGTCTCTACAGAGCATATTTATAAACATTTTAAAGGAGCATAAAAATATTAAACTGGATAAGAAATTCCCCAGGAATTTCTTTACTCACTGCTCCACTGGCCTATAGTTCAAAATGTATTTACATTTTTCTTTTTCCTCAGGCATCAAGGTTGGTCACCTTAGGAAGATCAAGATCAAATGGTACAGGCTGCACAAGTGAGAACCAGTTCTGAGATCTTAGTCCTGCTTTATATCAGCTTCACTTGACACGTCAAAATGAGATGGTGGAATCAGTGGAAACTTTCCTTAGGAACTTAGGAGAGAAAAGCAAAAACAAATCCTCCACATGGAGATGTTGGTTTTACTCCTAAATGGTTCTCTTCCAATGTCTATTTCAGTATCTATTTCACTGCTAGCTCAAGAGGATGTGAACAGGGTGTTAGCATTTGAGCACTTGTTTAATGAGCCACATCCACAGTGAGAAACCATGCCTTATGGCACCTAGTCAGCTGTGCAGATGGCTAGTTTGCTTCTAATATTAGTACACGAGTGTTTATAATTTCTAGAAGATGATGTACATTTAAATTCGGTGTAATTTAATTTTGAAAAGTAAATAGTATAAGCAAGTATAATGTTTAAAATAATTACAAGTGTCCTTCTGCTTTGTCACAAAATCAAAATCAGACAAATGCTGCTCAAAATTGGTTTCTTTTGGGAATAGTATGCTGAAAAGTAATTTATTCCTAAATTCACCCATCATTTTAAGAAGTACCTAAATATATTTAACAAAATTTAAATAATACATATGCTGTATCAGTTTAAAATATCCTGTTGTCCAAAATAAAATAGTTTTTGTCTATGCATGAACACCTATTCAAATAGAATTCATATGTATTTTTACTTACATGAAAGAAAAATAAAAGCTGAGCTATACTAATTAATATTCTATTTTTTAAATGATGTACACTGCCTTTTAAGCTTCTAGTTTTTTTTATCTTCTTTTTCATGTTCCAAATGGCGCTTGCCAATAAAGGCCAAGCTTATTCTAGAAGACAGGAATCAAAAGTATTCATCGAGTTTAGAGAAGGAAATAAGATATGAATGAAATGCCTAGAAGATTAAGAAAAGTTTTACAGATAAGGTGACCCTGAAGCTTGGTCTTTGAACACAAGGATATCTGCTAGACAAGGCACAAAGATGGAAAATTCGTGCTGTCTGGTGGGAACAGCAAGAGCTGGATGGGGTAAGTTGGGGGTTGAATGTGACAGCGTTGACTTGGACTTTTTCCTCTAGAGAGCTGGGAACCAAAGGTCTTAAGCAGGAAGGCAATGCTGGATGTTTAGAGACAAAAGAGAAAAAAAACAATTACAGCAAAATGCGTGATATATTAGAGAAAGGAGACTAGTTGTTTTTGCAATATTCTAGGCAAAGGACCGTTAGACCTTAATTTAAGACAGCAGCAATAGAAATATATAGTATAGGAGCCTCATTAGAGGTATTACAGAGGTAAGGAAACAGAATGTCTTGGGGACTGATTAGAGGTGAGAAAGAGAATTAGGGAATGACTCTAAAATTGCTTTTTTGGGAGATGAGATTAAGGCAGGTACCAAAGGCTGGGAATATATTAATATATTTCTGCTGGGACCCCTCTGAATTAAATTTACTACTCAGTGAGAGGAAGGGCAATCAGGCAACTGCACACTCTAAGGCAAGACTTGTTACAGGGGGCACTGGAGAGGACGAGAGTAAGTACGGCCTGTGGGCAGGAGGTAACTGCGAGAGTACAGGGCTATGCTGAGCAGAGACCTTTCATGCAATAATCCTGTCCAAAAGAGAATCATAAACCATCTATCAGTCTTGCCACCTCTGAAAACATGAAGTATTTTAAATCCTAGAGTGGAGTGGGACTAAACTTGAACTGAGATAGGTCTGTCCCATGCACTTTGCTTCCATCTCATTGCAAGGCCTTCTTGTTCTAATTCCACAACTAGCTCTGAGTCTCAATTTCCTCATCAGTAAAATAGGGCTAGTAACACACCTTGTCTACTTCACAGGGTTGTTGTAGGCTGTAATGCAATATAAATAAAAATGTCCTAAAATCCTTAATACACAATACTGTAAAAGTGTTGTTATTTTAGTACCTGGCCATTTCTCAAGTTGGAAAATGTTGAAAACAAAAATGTTTTTGAAATTCAAATTTTAAGACTTGAAAGAATGGCCGGGATGTAATAATTAATTTTACATTCATGTATTTAATAGGGTTTTAAAACTGAACATTTTTCTGTTTTTAAACTATAAACCATTTGGTCTAATATAAACTAGTACCTAATTGCTATTACTGATATGGAGTATGTTTTTAGGAAAAATAACTGCTTCTATCCACACTCAATGTGGTTGTTTCCATTTCACTAATGTCAACCACATTTCTTTCATTCTTTACTTTTTTTTTCCCCTAAGGAAGACTTGCCCTGAGCTAACATCTGTTGCCAATCTTCCTCTTTTTTTGCTTGAGGAAGATTAGCCCTGAGCTAACATCTGTGCCAATCTTCCTCTTCTTTCATTCTTTAAATCATAGCATTGAAATTAAATTTCTCATACCATAGATCCGCAAGGTTCTTTAATGTAAACATTATAACTAAGACTTCAGTGATGTCCCAAGTAGATGTCATCTATCGCCTAGAAATTCTAACCTAGCATAAAGTTTCAATAGAAAGACTGAGTTTCTATTTCACTTTTAATTTTGCATAAAAAGATATCAGTAAAGATAACAACATTCTGTCAGATAAAAGACAGCATAGAAAGGTGCTTGACCCTAACAGAGGCTAACAGTGGCCCATCAGATTCATTTACAGGTCGGGCCACCAGCAATGTTAAACATGCACCAACAAAACCTTCCCTTCCTCCTTTTGAGTGCCTCTGTGAAACATTTAGTCTTCCAAGATGACATGGCATTCTCTTGACCAGTCCCTCTCCTGCATGTCTTTAGAACTTTTAAAACATTAGATTCCAGGGGGAAGAATAGGAAAAGAAAAAAATATGAAGATATAATAACAAATCCCTAAGAAGTGGTTGTTTCTATGGTAAGCCGAATTTGGCCTCCATGTCCTGGTGTTATACCTGTAAACATATGTTAGGTGACTTGGCAAAACGGACTTTACAGATGAAATTAAGGTTGCTAACCAGTTGAACTCTATTTAATCGCATGGGCCCTTAAAATCAGAAGAGGAAGGCAGAAGAGTCAGCCAGCCAGTCAGAGAAAGGCAGTGGAAGAGGTGGCAGGAGACATTTGAAGCATGAGCCCTCTGTTGCTGGCTTTGAAGATGAAGGGAGCTGTGGGCCAGGGAATGATGGTGGCCTCTAGAAGCTGCAAATGACCCTTAGCCAAGAGCCAGAAAGGAAACGGGACTTTAGTCCCACAGCAGCATGGAACTAAATTTTGCCAACAACTTGAATGAGCCTTGAAACAGATTCTCCCCCAGAGCTCAGCCCTACCAAGGCTTTGGGTTTCAGCCTTGTGTGACTTGAAGCAGAAACACCAGCTAAGCCGACCAAACTTCTGACTTACGAAACTGTGAGATAATAAATTTGTGTTGTCACTAAATTTGCAGTAATTTGTTATGGCAGCAAATAGAAAACTAATAGAATAGCTAACGTTAGAGACTTTCAATTTACAACAAAGACGACAAAATTGGACAAAGAGGGTATAAAATCTCCAAGGAATAACAGGCAATCTTTTCCTACAACAGCTTTCTCTGTAACTATTAATTGACATGCAGAATATCAGCTTAATGACTGAACAGAAACAAAAATAGCTTTCAGATTCACCAGAGACTTTAATTTGATTTTGTGAAAAAAGCTTATAAGCAATCAGATAGGCTGCTTTTTTTCTCTGTGTTTGTCACCTATGAGGTTGTACAGTGCAAATACGAACTAGGGAGAACCCGTGACTCTGCAATGCTGTGTAATTCAAGAAGACAGCCCTACCACATGGTTCCTGGAAGACAGATCCTTCCCGCTGACCATTTAACACTCACAAAAACACGTAACAAACAAAACTGAAATTTGAATCTATGGTTATTAAAACTGGGAAAAAGCACTGGGATTCTGGTCTTTTTCTTCCTGAAACAAATTATAAAAACTGATCCCAATTTCAACAGTTTAGAAAAAATTTAATAGATCTGTATTCAAGTGCTCAATGGATTAATGTATCAGCCTATGGGATTTTTTTTTTTTTTCCTTTTCAAAGATGGGCTAAGAAAGAATAAATGCAGGATGTTCTTGGAAAAAATTTGAATAATTAATATCCGATCTTACATTTTCTTATGATTGTCATGGATATAACCTAATGATTGTCAACTTTCAGTTTTATTTGTTGCACTCAAAATTCACTGTATGATATTTAAGCATACATGATAAAGAACACAAGCATTCTTCCTAAAACAATATTAAGATTACTATGCTTAGAGTTCACAGTTTTATAACAATTTACAATAAACACTCAAAACATTGTACAACCATCGATATTTGTGAATAGTCTTGAGAAAAAGCTGTATTTTGATACATTAAGGCAGCTTCAGCCAACATTTTAGGAAGTTCTGAATATTTGTTGAAATAAAAGACAAATTTGGTATTTGAATATTCGATGTTTTCAAGAAATTTTAAAAGTCACTTAAAATAAGAATACCATAATTTGTGAAACTGTGGTCTTAAACATTTTTACTACTATATTCTTACCACATAAAGCTTACCTAAAATCAAGATACTCATCCTATCAGTATCAAAGATACCTATTTTAAAAAGAAAGGAAGGGAGTTACATTAAATATGAGGACGATAAACCCTGTATTTAAACAAGGGCCTTCAAACAGTGTCTCACACACATCTGTGAGGTAGGTTATTATCCACATTTTGTAGATGAGAAAACTAAATGAGGTTATGTGACTTGCTGCTGCCACAACAGCCAAACTGAGAATCAGATTCCAAATTAGATTTTGTTCTTTGCTCTGCATTGTTTCTTCCCTTTATAAACTTTTTAAAGGGTTGAAATATAAAGATTGCCATTCATTTTAAAAACATGTAAAGGCAGCCAAACTTTACCAAGGCAACTTAAGAAGTGAAGTGACATAGAAGAAATAGAAACACACATCCAGTGAGCAATTCTGACAGTAACAGGGTAAGGTCTGGCCAAAGGAACCGGAAACAACAGGCCAAAGCAAACAATGTGATTGTTTGTGGAGGGCAGATCTAAGGAAAAATGAGGAATTATAAAAAAGGAAAATACAGTTCAAACAAGTTTTTTTACTTATTATAACTTCCTATAATTGAAAAGAAGGCACAACTAAGGTTTTTTTGTTTTTTTTAGAACAGTGGATCTCTCTTTTCCATTTTAGGAAAATGTTATCTGTCTAGAAAAATGGCCTGCCTTCGTAACAAAACTTAGTTAAAAGGGACTTTTAGCTGTGAAAAATGCATGCTTCAATTAGCAGCAAAAAATTAACTATGCAATTCTCCTTGCCTAGAATGTTCTTATTCCTCCTTGAAGTTTTAATCGACGCAAAGTAGCAAACACCGAATTAAAAAAAAAAATCACACTGTATGAACTTTGTCAAAAATCTACATATATTCAAAAAAGTTTTCATGCTAGGATATTCTACAAATACTTTTTTTCCTGGAAAGGGCACTCTAGTCTAGGATTTCCTATTAATTGCACTTTAAATGTAACTGAAATTTACCCTGCTTGTCCAAATAATCATGAGCTACTTCCAAAAAAATCTAAACTGCTTTAGATATAAACAAGAGTTACCTAAAGTCACATACCCAGTCACGGCTGCTAACAGGCATTGCTATGCAAGGCCAGCAGTAAACACTACGAGTGGCTCACACAATACACACAGGCCCACAGTTTGGTAACTTCTAGATCCAGCCTGATTCTTATCAGGTTATGGCTGAAAAAGTTTAATTAAAATTCAATCCAGTCTAGACTGTGGGTCCTGTTCTTTATGCTATTACTGTTCAGTGGCATCAAATGCATCATAATTATATGTGGGAAAGGCTAGCAAGGATGCCCAGCAACTTGTTTAAATAAGATTTACATAAATTTTTAAGCTCATCAAACATAAATTACATTTCAAAGTTTTATAAGGGAGACTCTCTATCAAGTTGATAATAGGTAGTTTGTGAATAGAAATATACTCTATGAAAATAGTGTTTTATCATCTAATATGCACACAAAGCAAAAAATTATCAGTCTGTATATGAAATTTAGATAAGCCTAATTCAGATAATAGTCAAAAACTATGATAATTTAAGATAGGGGCTGGGGCTAGTTTTACTTTTTTAAAAAAGATTGTGCTATAAGAATCATGTAAATAAAATTAAAGGAAGAATCATGTCCTAAAAAGTTTCTTCAGTATTTTTTAAGCACCCTCAATAACTTAGAAGTACTTATAAAAATCAATATGCTAATCATAAATACTTCAGGTAATTATACCTACTTAGTACAATCAACTGGTTCAAATAATTAAACTAAGAAATATTCAGTTAAGACTACTTTATGTCCCTCTAAGACTTGAAAGCAATACATCTGTGTTTATTTTTATTACTCAACTACCCAGATGTTTTAGCGATTCAGACTGTTCTCCCCAAAGGAAGGTGGCATATGAAGAGCAGTGATCATCGCTGAATACTTGCATGGCATTAAAGCCATGAAGAACTTTCCAGTCCTGCTTCCTCATCTGGAAAATGGCTACCTCACAAGGTTACTGTAATGTTCAGATAAGTTAATAGATATGGAGGGTCTCTGGATCTAAAAATCACTATAAAACGTATGTTTTGCTTTATGCCAAGTGCACATGATGTTTTAACATGTTTGGTTTTCTGGATGATTTTTGCCATTTGTATTTCAGAGGGCAGCTGTATTTAGAAAAATATTCAAGTATATACCTTCAAAATGCCTCAGCAAATATAGAACATTCACACTAGTATAAAAACTCTAAATATATAAAAAGTGAACACTAACATAAATCATATGAGAAGACAGAACTTTAAAGCTCAAAGGTACCTCAGAGGTCTTTTAATCTGTCCCTCTCATTTTAGAGGCTACAAAAATGAGGCCCAACATAGGATGTGACTTACCAACAGATTGCACATATCCCTCACCCAGAATTTTTAATAAAGTAGAATCTCTGAGAGCTGTTATTAAAATAAATTACATTTCCTATTTAAAAAGTCACAGAGTGACAGGATGACCAGCTAAAGAAATGCTAGACTGAAAAGGTGGGGGTCTTTAAAAACAGACAAAATTGAGAACCTGTCTAGCATTAGATACTGAGATTTCACAACCATTAATAGGATTTACATGATTAACCAGTGAATAGACAAAGATGCAGTGTCTATGATAGGCACATTCCAAACTTTTATAAATAAAAGGTACGGTGCTTATATTAACTCAGTATACTGCACATTAAGAGAGGCTACAGATAAATCCAAATAGTCAAATAATCTGTAACAGTTGTCTATGATTATTTTCTCAATTTTGTCTCATCTAATACTAAAAATCAATTTGTATTCCCTAAGTACAAACTGGCCAGGGAATAAGAGAAACAAGCCCAGAATTATGTAACGGTCATGGAAAACCTATTTGCAGAAACTGGAGAATTGTCTGTACTACATATAGCCAATTCCCTGACATAGAAATACTATTATTTCTGATTAATTTAGGCTCCTGGATTCTCTTTATAGATGGCTAGTATCAAGGAATGCAAATACTAGAGATTACAAGTGTCTTAAAAGTTTGTTGATCAAAATAAATACCCAACTTGTAATAGTTTGCCTCCCTCCCTCCCTCGGTATTCTGAGATTTTGTTTGTTCCTATGTTAAAGGATGACAAGGATTAGATCTAAATATAAAAGTATTTAGAAAATGTTCACTGACTACACATTTTGAAAGTAAGAATCAACGATATTGACTCATTACTCACAGAGCCATAAGCATGAGTCACTAGTTTTAGTGTGAAGACTAAGTAATGTTTTTACTTAGTAATCTTGTTTAAGGTTCCTCAGTTATCCATTCAATACAAAAAACAATCAATTTTGCTCCCAAACTATAACACAACCTGATTACAAAGATCAAGGTGCTATGAAACAAGTTGCAGACATACAAAATTCTATTCAGTCCAGCATTCGCTCAAGATAAATATGCCCACAGGTTAAAATAAAATTATTCTGATTTTGAACCAGATTCTCTCCAACTGAGAAGGGAAAAGGAAAGCTTAATTGTATTCTTAAGTACCCTAATTATGACAAGCTGGACCTAAAATTTTCCTAAAATCATATTTGCCAAATTTGCTTTTTCCCAGGGGATAATAAGTTTAAAAACATGGTTAAATTAATTTAGGCAAAGCAGGTTGAAGTTAAATGATTTTTTTTTTTTTTTTTCCCACAGAAGGACTTGTCCAAGTCTTTAATGCCTATGTCCATTGTCATCCTCAAGCAGGAGAGTAGCATGTAACATTTTCCAAACTTGCTCAATGGAATCGTTTTTCTGCAGAGCATCTTACACAATACAGTTTGTGAAATGCTATTCAAGAGCATTTCCATGAGATAGCTAGGCTTTACCTATAACCTAATAATAGAAGCTCTCCTCCAGAATCTTAACTGGAAGAAACTGTTCCTCCCCAAGATCTACCTACCACATACATACCACATCCACAATTAACCAGTTTACAAGACTGAAATGTGGGAATTTAGCAAGTGATTCTTTCCCTCTCCCCGCCCATTAGCAACAAAAAGCCTCCTATAACAATGCTCTAGCCCCCTGGTATACTGGCCTGAGCCTCCTGAAATCTCTCTCCAAAACAAGTTACTACACCACCTAGGTTCTCAGAAGAGCTGTGCTTTAAAACTTGAGCTTACAGGAACCCAAACTGTGACCCCTGGTTCCCCTAAAATTCAACAGATAACTATCAAATTGTAGATACTCATAAATACTGGCAAGAATGAGAAAATAGTAAATAATCTTTTTAACTCTCGAAAAACATGATAATCATTCATATAGAGTAATTTTGATATGAATAAGTTTCTAATATCTGATTTATTAGACTAATGAAGCTAAAATGCCACTGGATTCCTTCCTGCTATTTCTCCGCCTTCAAAATTGCTAGGCGACAAGGAATCAGATAAGTTCCTTATTTCTAAGGTCATACCATTCATACTCAGGCAAATATTATGATGTGGCCCTGTTTTTTCCAAAAGAGGTATTTACACATTTGGAAAGGCCAAAATTATGCCATATCTATAATGCACATCAGACTAACACAGCAGGACTGCTTATCCTATAAAAATAATCACAAAAAAGTACCTTCTGGTGCCACTAGATGGCAATCTTTCAAAGGTTTAAACTTAAAACATCTTAACAGCAACCCCACCCTCTTTCCCAAATTGGCCAATAAGGATTCCTTTTGACATTACAGAGTCAGACTTAAAAAGTTATTTAACACCATTTTTCAAAAGTTCTACAAAACAATATGGTGTGACACACTGCAAACTCCTGACTCAAAACTATTTAAAGATAGACACGCCTGTCTTCCATAAACACAGAAGAAACTTGGTCTAACATTCTCAGTTGCTTCTTGGTAGAAAACACATTATTTTTGGCAAACAGAAACCTGTTGAGGCATAGTCACTTTTCGTTCTGAAGAGCTTAATCTTTTCTAGGGTAAGTCAGGTGAATGGGATGGTTCATTACAACATATTAAACAAAACAAATGAATAGATAAATACAAATTAGATAAATTACGCTTAATTTAAAAATTACTTTTACTAAAACGAAATATAATCAGTGAGCTATTATCTACCCTGCTGTATATAGGTGTTTTTTTTTTAATATTAAAAAGAAACCTGCATAAAGCACAACAAATAAAAAAACTGTTTGGTTTTCCTTTTTTAAAAGCACTGGTGTGTGAATACATACGTGTATATATGTAAACAACACATATATTTATTCGAGAGAGAATTTTTTAAATGTTTAAGGCTTCCCTGCCCTAACAGGTTCAACAGTGAAGGTCACAGCCTATCAAGCTTTGGAAGTACACAAAAGCCCTTAGGGCCAGAACAGTGTTTTCAAATTGGATGGCTAGCAACCAAGATCTAGAACAAAGAGATGGAACCAGAAAAGATTTAAAAGCTAAGTCAGTTAGCCACTAAGGATCAAACAATAAACAAAGACAATGGTGACTAGGGAAGGTGAGGGAGTGGGTGGCTACAATAACAAACTTCAGATGAAGAATTAGCATTGTGGGATGCAACATCTCACACACACACAACTCTCTCTCTCCTCCCCCCCCACCACCACACACAATAAGAGATCCAAGATAAGAGTTCTCTTTTAAGGGACTGTTGATATTTTGCTTTGTTTCATTTAACTGTCTATTTTATCATGCTTGATGAAGTACAAAAATAAATAGAGCCAAAAAGAATCTGAGAAAGGTAGGTTTGGAAGGCATGTTTCAAAACAATAAAAGTTTATGAAAAAGACAAAAGTTGTTGCAATTCCAGATGTCCCAATACTGAGAAGAACCATGAGGGCTCTTAAGATAAATATATTATTCAGGGAAATCTCAAGATAAAACCTCTAGCTGGTTACAGCTGTTTCTAAGGAACCTGGAAATCACAGTTACCTGTTTCAGGACCACAGCCCTCCTGTGGAACAATGGGCAGTATCTGCAAAAACAGCTAGAAGAACTTGGCTTCTGAAATTTGGGGGGGCAGGCTTTTAAGATTTCAACATTTAATACCACCTTACTAATGGTTGTTTCATTTTTTAATCTTCTTGTGCAAGAGAACTAGGTGCATAAACACAGCTTAAAGCCTGCTGAAATTTAGGAAGTAAACTGGATTACCTACACTAAACAGTCAAGCAAGGAGGTACTGCCAAACACCCTCTGACTGAGATGGTTCACCAGTGAGGGTGTATTAATCATCTGTAGTGAACTCACAATTTTAAATGAACAATCATCTTCACTGATGTTCACCTATTAAAGATACTGCCTATTTGAATTTATCATAGGCAAAATAGAATTACAGATTTCTACAGGTAAATAAAATGTCAGACTTTTCTGCTTTCAGTAATTTCAATGGCATTGAGTGTCCCCTGGAGATATTCATGTCTCTCAATCAGTATTGCAGAGTATGTGATATCCATAAGGAAAATAATAATTTAAAGAATATATCTGATTTTCACAGTGCAATAACAGAAAGATAGAAACAAGAGAAAGATCATCAACGAGCTAGAGTAGTGATCAGACTGGCACACATTTCAAAAAAATCCATGGTGTGACTGCCCAGGCGAGGTGGAACTGAGGACAATGTGCTTCCGGTCAAGGAGCCAGTAAGAGAGCCAGACAGTGAATGGCTCTCTGCAGTTACAGAATCTAAACTTGATCTTGGTCTGTGTAAGCCAGCAGCAGAAGAGGAACGCTGAGGGGTTGAGGAACCAGACCTCTGCTCCACCACCTCATCTGAAATGGACCAAAGAAAAGCCATTTACATGAAACATGTATTTGCGGGAGCCCTTCCTATAAAGATGCTATATTCAGAAAATTAAGTAAATAAACACATCTGAGCAAGGACAGCTTAATAATGAACGTTCTAATTCAGTGTTTTAGGAGCAGGGGTGGCAATACTTCTTCCCTCCCACAATTATAACAGACATCACTAATCAATCACAGCACTTCCACACAGTCAAAATGTGACCCCAAAATCCTTCTGAACATAGTATTTGGCATTAATCTTGAAATCAAACTGATACTCCAGCATTTGAAGAAAACACATCCTTGGATGTGTTGGAGGCTTATTTTCTTGCAGCATATCAACAAAAAATTATTAAGATAAAAGCAAGTTAACCATCACACAGTGGTTCTGAACCTTCAGTGCACACTGCAATTGCCTGGGGAAAGGGGCGAGGAAAATGTTAAAAATGCAGATTCCCAGTTTCCCAGGACCCATCTCCAGAGATCCTGATTTGGTAGGTCTGGGGTAGTTCCCAAGAATCTGCATTTTAATAAGAACTCTGGGTAATTCTGATGCAGGTGGTTTGGGGACCATATAAACACTACTACAATTGATGACAGTTCAAGAATAAAATTTCAATGCTCTGTTTAAACAACTTCCCCAAGTCTGAACTCAGTTCTACTCTTGTTCCACTCTTCTCCTGAGCCTTGGTTTATTCTGTTTTTATCCCACTGGGGCCTCTGAACGGAACAAGCGTTATTTGGTTGACCCGGGTTTGACTCGTCACACATGAAATACTTGGACACAACCAGCTCCCCTGACTCCTTTGACTCCTGATGGCCATGGGCACCGAAATCCAACCCAAACCCCAGGAGAGGCCTATGTGGTCACCTTGGCCACCAGGATGAGGGAAGTTGATGAATGGGGAAGTCTAGATATTATAATGCTAATAGTAATAAAATATGAATGGAGAAATGTGACAAAGAACCTGACACATCAGCTAATTTCAGGCAAAACTTGCTTCCCTGTTGTTCCTTACTTTTGCTCTACAGCCAACACTTCCAATAACTTTTTTAGGCCAAAAGGAAGCACTTCTTTTTGAGAGGTGCTGGATTAGAGATATTCCACGTGTCTTCGATCATTTTCATTTCACTTACATTTTTAGTTAAGTCCAGATTACTTAAAAACCAGTATAGAAGACCTACCCACCATGTCTTTGAGATGATTTTAACATCTTGTCAACTAGTGCCAAGTTTTATCTTCTCAGAGCTCATGCTTGCATAGCTTCCTTACCATCAATGCTTTTAAAGTCCAAAAGATAGCTTCTATTGTCAACCAGGTAAAGTTGTAAGCTCATTTTCACATAGTTGCCAGTCACTGGATTTTTTCTTCTTACACGAAGATGGTATGCATTCACTACCTAAAATGAGAAATCTTCTTTAAGGAAAAACGTTAAAAATAACAAACTACGAAATATCTCCCTTATTCTTCTTATTTCAAAGAATACCAAAACAAATAATTGATAGAGGTAGGGTAGAGAAGGAATTCCTGAATGATCTTTTATTTTTATATTACATTGTAGTTTAGTATTTATTTAATCCCCACTAACAGTACTGTTTGTGTACAGCCATGAAAATTTAAAGAGAACTCAGAGATTATATAGAGTCTAGCCATCGTTCTAGACATGCATCCACTTTAAACCAATAATAATTCTGGTTGCTCAGCTTCAGTTTGAATACATTTACCTGTGAATACGGAGTAGAAGGGAATAAACAAGAACTAACATGTTAATGGTTTACAGCAGGCACTGTAACACGTACTGTCACAAAACTGAAGCATCACAATAGGCCTGCGAGGAAGATATTATTTGCCTTTTCAAGATAAGGAAACTGCAGCTCAGACAAAAAAGATTCTGGGTTTTCAAAACATTTATCTAATTAGTTCCAAAAATTTTTCAGTAAGGAATTCTAAAGACATTAACATCTCTTTTTTAACTAACCAAATAAAATTGCTTCAGAAAAAGGAGGTCTGTTTTTTAAATGGTTTTAAATAAATATTACTTTGTTTATTCATTTCATGTACTAATAATGAAATGAAAATGACTGATTTACTCAAACACGTCAAATGAATATTTACACGGTATATTTGAACATTTTTCTTCTTCCTTTAAAAATACATACAGTCCTCAAGAAAGGAATAAGAGTGAAAGGGACATTTGAAATGAAAAAAATGCTTCCTCCCCCACATATACACAAATAGAATTGAAATGAATTTGAGCACTAATTTAAAAAAAGTACAATGTGGGCTGAGAGTAAGAAAAATATACCATAACTAAGGATAAAAAGCACCAGCCAAATAAGAGAGATTTTCTCAACTTAGAGAAAAGTATTTGTTGACTGAATAAATATGTCCTGATGGTATAATTTGTATTGACCACTAGCTGCTACAGCTACTGGCAAAATGAAAAAACAAATCCTCTCTAAGAAAAGAGAGAGAGAAGTTAAAACATACTATCTTTGAAGACACATGACTTTTTATTACTATGACGCATGCTGAAACAGGTGACTTCAAGTTGACTACTTTTTGTTTCTTGGCCAAGAATGCTATTCTGTAATTCAAAAATATGTAGGTTCCCAAAATCAACAGCTCCTCATTCTTACAGATGTTTATTTCTTCTGTTTTGAATGCACATGGTATTTTATTGGAAAGAATGGGGTTTACCATCCAGAAGCATCAAGCCCACTAAATTTACATCTAAACCAAAACCAACTTTTTCATTGACCTCAGTACTCAACTCAGCAGTTCAGAACAACATACTATACAGAAAAATGGCTTCTACAAATGGTCTTAATATACTATAATTTCCTACCTTCCATTCAAAATCCAGCTGCTTCATAGCTCGGTAAACTTCAGCCATAATGTCATATGGTTTGCTTTGACTTCGGATTCCAAGATGCCACTTGGCTTTTTTCACAGCTAAAGGTTTGGGTTTAGTAGTATTCAGCGCATCCAATGGACATCTTGCTTTAGGACTGTCTGCTATAAGAGGTGGCATCCTTTCTGGATGAGGTTTCAGGCCTGGGGGAATATGCATGGTACTATCATCCATAAAAGAACCAGTTGGGGGACTAGAGGCGAGGTAGAACTCACTGGCTTGGTTCATTATTCTCCGATTGTCAATGATAAGATGATAAGCCACTGCAAGCTGGTCTTGAGGGTCACCACTATATAAACTGTTCATTACTTCTGATTCTGTACACTCAAATTTTTCACATACTTCTTTCACAGCCTCATCATCAATGACGTTAGCATCATAGGAGGGGTCCTCAGGAAATAAGTAACTGGGCAAATCTTGTTTAAACCATTCATGCTCTCTAGGAAAAATACCACAATACACTATTGTAAGAACATGCTTTGGCAAGTCCCAAGTAATTTAGACACGAGGCAATATAATATAACAGAATCGGAAAGACTTGGTCTCTAGCTACTTACTAGCTATGTGACTCTGGGTAAGTTAATTAACCCCTACCCTTGAATAACTATGGTTATTCAGACTTGGGTGTTTGGCTGACATTTTCTCAAAAATAAACAAAATGAGCCTGTCACTTCAAAGAAACAACTGGCAGTATTTGTTGCCAATGATAAAATTCAAGCTTTCAAGCAAAATTTTAGAATTTTGTATAATTTGTATCTGCCTCCCTGAGTTTGACAGCTTCCCAAATACTTACACTTTTCTGATAACATTATAGTGATGATAATAATGAATATGATTTTTGATAATGTATAATGAAATGTGTCACCATTTGGAAAATCTGTCTAACTCAATAACCCAGTATTTTCCAAATTATCTACAGATGATGTTACAGAATCATACATGGGTAAAAGTTCCACTAAAATGCAAAACAGACCAGTGGATTTTATTGTAATAAAGCATAAAAGTTCACTGATATGTTTTCTGATTTGATATTGCAACTAACATGTTAAGCACTGGTTTAATATCAAAGAAGAATATAACAACTATCTGAAAGGCTATTAAAATGTCCCTCCCTTTTCCAACCACTTATCTGAGTGAGGTCAGATCTTCTTTACAGACTTCAATTAATGAACATATTGCAACAGAGTGAATGAAGAAGTGGATATGAGAATCTAGCTGCTGTCTTTGATTAAGCCAAACATTAAGAGGATTTGAAAAATGTAAAATAATGCCACTCTTGTCACCACTTTTTTTTTTTTTTGGTAAATAAGGTTATTTTTCATAAAAGAGGTTTTTTAGATTAACATATAGTAGATTTATTGTTATTTTTAAGTGAATTAAATAGTTTTATATTTCTCGGTTTTAATTTCTAATATGATATTGATAGATATAACGTGCACTAAAAACAAAAACAAACAACATGCAGCTCTTTGCACACGATGTTATTGCCACCTTAGAATCCCCTGCCCTTTTCAACTGACTCACATGTACTGTTTCTTCAAGACCATGCAGCAGTGCTACACGGTAGAACTGGGCACCCCCTCACTAAATTCAGATCAATATATATTTTGCCTGAATACTTTCTACTGAGTAATTAATTCATCTATGAATATTTACTAAGGACGTACTATGGCAAAAAGACATGCTCCTTCTACTCCTATAGTCTCGCTGGATACAGATTAAATACAAAAATAAATATATAGTTACAACTATGCAATATGAAAATCTTGTGATAAAGATTGTGAGTGAAAAGCATGGGGTAAAATGAGAGCATATAATTGAGAATGGGAGGCAAGTGATCAGGGAAGCCACTCTGAGTAATATTTAAGCAGATACCAGAATGACTGTAAGTCAGCTGAGCAAAGAGTTGGGGAACAGGTATTTCTAGCAAAGGAAACAATATATGCAAAGACTCTAAGAAGAGAAAGAGATTTGCCATGTTCAAGGAACTGAACTGAGGCCACTATCATGAAGGCCTGAGTTACACGTTGCAGTGGCAAAACACATCAGATATTTTTTTTTTTAATTTTATTTATTTATTTTTCCCCCCAAGCCCCAGTAGATAGTTGTATGTCATAGCTGCACATCCTTCCAGTTGCTGTATGTGGGACGCGGCCTCAGCATAGCCGGAGAAGTGGTGCATCGACGCGCGCCCGGGATCCGAACCCGGGCCTCCAGCAGCGGAGTGCACGCACCTAACTGCCAAGCCACGGGGCCGGCCCTCACATCAGATATTTCTGACAGCTGTAGGCTATAAGAAAAGTTTTGGAATTTGAATCTATGGTTGATAAAAATCACTGCAAGACTTTAAAGAGACAGGGGTGACATAATCTAATTTGCATTCTGTAAAGATCAGTCTGCTTCTGATACAGAAATTGAATTGAAACGATAAAAATAATAATAATGACAATGATGCTAGTGCAATAGTCCAAGTGAGAAATGATGGTGTACTAGGCCCTGAGGATATATACAAAGATGAAACTTCTACAGCTTCTAGTAGATCTTTCTATTGTAACACTCACACTTTCTTATAGTTACTGATTTTTTCTTAATCTTTCCCACTAAATTGGGAGCTCCTTGAAAGAGTGCCCACGCTTTATTTAGCTGTACTCCAGTATCCAGTACAGAATACATGCTCAATAAGTGCATAAAAAATAAATGATAAATGACACGTGAAGTATGAAGGAAAAAATGAACTCATTAATGTGTTTATTTGCTATATCATGATAATAAGCATCTAATATATGTTTAGTAATAAAAATGATACATATTAATTTTTTCAAAAAAAATAATAGAAGATAAATTTTGTTACATGTCTAAAATTTTAAAAATATCAATGACAAATAGGGAAGACAAGAACTTTTGAATGAACTTCAAAACTTTACTCTTCTAAAAGCAATGAAATTACTAGCAAAAATTGTCAAAATCAACCTGTTCAGAACTCTGGAAATTAAGCAACGGCTTGCAACAATCTAAAGAGTATTTATTCAAGAAAAATGCCTGAATCTCAGTCAGAACAGCAGTATTTGTGATGTTTTAATTGCCCTCTATCTCCCTTTCCCCATTTCTATGGTAGCCCAGAAAACCAGCAGCCTACCAACTACTTGGAGGGAGAGAGGGAGAATAGGTTTAGAGTTCTCCAAAAGTCCTGTCGCCAGAGAACTGTCACTATTTGACATGTCTGGTGTTCCCTGGAAATTTCTACTCACAAGTCTTGTCTTTACCTCACTTGACTCAGACCTCTCTTACTGCAAACAGCCTTCTCTCCGGGACATTCATCAAAAGCAATCAATGGCAACTGTCTAACATCCCAGCTGCCTAAAGCAGCAATAAGAGGTGGAGCAAACAAGAAGCTGACCAAAACCTAAAAGGAGAAGTTAGGGAATAAGAGTTCCACAGGGGTCTTTTAAATACTCTGATATATTCCTGGGACTCAAGAAGGCCACACAGATATGCAGGGCTGTGTGCATGCCCAAAAAGGCCTTAATTTTTCATCACTGGCTGACTTTGAGGCTCTATGCTAGCAGGAACTGAAGGCTAAGGCAGAGTTATGAACTTCTCACTGGAACACTGACGACATACCCCAAAATGCACACACAGTCCCTCAGCAAAGGCTGGGACACTTATTAGATCAATGCACTTAAGGAAAGCTCTGTCTAATAATTAGCTGACCATGAAGCTAACCAAGCAGAGACTTCAGTGGCCACCCACAACCGAGAAGACAGACTTCATGGAATTGGTTCAGTAAAATCATTAAACAAACGGACAAGAGCAACAACAACAACATACAACAATTACAAACTCTAGGCATATACCCAAGAGAAATGAAAACATATAACCATATAAAAACTTGTACATGAATGTTCATAGCAACATTATTCATAAGAGCCAAAAAGTGTAAACGACTCAAATATCCATTAACTGATGAATGGATAAACAAAATGTAGTATATACATACAATGGAATATTTTTCAAGCAAAAAAAGAATGAAGTACTGATATATGCTACACCATGAAAGAACCTTGAAAATATTATGCTAAATGAAAGAAGCCAGACTCAAAAGGCCACACGCTGCATGAATCCATTATATGAAATGTCCAGAATAGGCAAATCCATAAAGACAGAAAGTAGATTAGTGGTTGCTAGGGGCTGAAAGGAGGAAGAAATGGGTAATGAATACTAATGTGTATAGAGTTTCTTTTGGGGATGATGAAAATGTTCTGGAATTAGATAGCGGTGATGATTGTACAACTTTGTGAATATACTAAAAAACCACTGAATTATATAATTTAAAGAGGCAAATTTATGGTATGTGAATCGCATCAATAAAATAAATGTTTAAAAAACAATAAATAGGGAAATAATCTAAATTTTTTTTTCTAATTCATTAATTTAGACAAAGGACCATAATTCTTTACAATAACAAAACTGCCAATTAAAAGGCCATACTTCCAGCTCTTGATTTTCAGGAGTCAGTTTCTGAATTAACTCTACCAAGGTAAGCAGTAACCAGGATGTTTATGAAGGTTCACCTGAGACAAAATCAATTCATTTCCATGGGTTACTACACAGCCACCAGAAATTATGTCTTTCTATCACCACTACCTGATACCTGATTTTGATATATGACTTAAGACTAAATGAGTTAAAAGGCTACCAAACAAATTTTAGAAACTTTACAATGTTTCTAAACTTCTTTAAGTGCAGCTAAAAGGTTTTTATATAGTCACTTAAAGATTAATAGCTAACACTGTGTGCTGGACATTGTTCCAAGAGCTGTAATTAGGTTGAACATTTGCAGTTTCTGATATTCAACTCTTTTTAGACCTACAGAAGTAGTAAATTCACATGGTTCAACCTAAGATTATCCTCCCAACAAATCCACTATATATGATGTAACTAAAGCACAAAGAGAGTAAGTAATATACTGATAGCTAGTAAACAGAAGAATCAGGATTCATATTTAGACAGTTGAACTTTAGACTCTTTTTTAATCACAATAACATTAATAGTAATACTAAGCTTAAGACACTTGGGACAACAGAAAGATGTGATTTTCATGAAGACAATGTCTGTCTTGTCTACCACTATATTCCCAGCACCTAGTATATGACCTTGAACACAGTAGATGCTAAATAAATATTTGTTGAATAAATAAAAGCAAAAATGATTAATTGAACAAATAAATATTGAGATATATTTTCTAACCTCCAATGGCTTACCATAAGAAAAATAAGATCTGTACAGAAATAACTATAAGACAGAACGTAGTAGTAGAAATATAAAATATTACAGTATATTGGAGGAAGGACAGACGTCAGAGAACTGGTGTAGCAATTTGGATTAGTAGAAATAGTACAGGTTTTGAATTCAGGCAATTTCTGAGTTAAGCCCCACTTCTGCCTCTTATTAGCTGTGTAATTTTCAACAAACACAGATTTATTCAACACAATTCATATCAAGTGCACAATGCCTGGCACATATTAATACTTGGTCCCTAATTTAAAGGAACTTAAAATTTAATAGGGGCAAACAGATAGATAAGTGAACTATAACAGAATCTTTCTAAGCTTCAGTTTCATGGTTTGGAAGATGAAAATAATAGCTACCTTATTGTCAATGTAATAAAATACATCAAGTATCTAGCAAAATGCTTCGTATATAATAATTGTTCAATAATTAGTAATTCTTTCCCTGTTGAGCTGTACTTTATTGAATCAAGAATTCCCAAACATTAAAAAACTGAATATGAATAAATAAAAAGATGAAAAGTTCAAATTCAAGTTTTATATTTTTTAAGTACAGAGATGAATGCCACTATTTTTTACCACCTACATATGTGTAAATTAACTCATCCTAGTAGAATTTTATTTACATTTTTCTCCTAAAGCCTATAAATTTAAAAACATCTGTTTTAAAATAACAGAATCAGTACTTTTAGTATTCTAAATGTATGTGCTGATACAAACAGGTGCAAGTACATGTATAGCAGCATATCTAATTTTCTCTCTAAGGAAAAGCCAATTAAGTGAACTATTTATTCTAAAGAACTGAGAACACAAGAGGTTTTATTCCTGCTAAGTTCATTTCCGTAACTAAATCTGGTGCTGATTTACAATTTTATATTTTTATGTATGAGGCCGGGAACACTGAAGAAAGGCTGGGGGAAGAAAACAGTACATGAACGCAAAAAGAATCAGTCCTTGCCTGCAAAAGAGAGCGGCAGCAGTCACACAAACAACCACCTCAGTCACCATTTAAACATTCCAAGAGTCACAGATCTCTAAACAGTCATTTTGGCTTATGAGGAAAATGGGAAGGATTCTGGAAAGACGTCAAAAGAATGTATTTGTAAATAAATACCTGATAAAATGTTAGGTAAGAACAAAAAACCCTCTAAGAAACATGACATGATAAGTAAAAAGTGGAAGGCAATGAATCACCCTGGCTTGCGTGTGCTACATAAAGGTCATATTCACAGTAACACAGCAACTGCACTTTCAAAGTTTCTCACATAACAAGAAATCCCTCACAGCAAACCCACTAGCAGCTATTTTTGGATTCAAAATCTTAGCAACACTTTTTATGCTTTATTTCATCAACCATATGTAAAATACACAAATCTCACCCTGTTTTCCATATGAAATTTATTCAAATACTTTCTGAGCATATACTATATTCCTAAGCCTTCTAGCACTGTATACACAAAAATGAGTAACACACTCTCTCTACCCCTTTGTAGTTACAATTTAAGAGAGGAGAAAGACACACTGAGAAACAGCTAGATACAAAATGAGAACGAAAGAATAAAAGCACGAACAAAATGTGGAAATCACAGAAGCAGAAGCAACATTGCCTAGGGGAGGCAGAAGTGATTTCACAAGGGAGGTGATATATGAGCAGAATTTTAAAGGATGAATGGAAATATAACAGGTCAAAAAAGGCATCAGAGGCAAAGGGAATAATATAAACAAAGACACGAAGGTATAAAATATATGTTATATTTGAGGAACAAGGAAAAATCCAATGTGGCTGAAGCAGTGGTACAAGGGGTGTCGTGGTAAGTGCAGGCAATGAGACTGCAGGAGGAGGAGAGCCTTCCTCTGAAGGGCCTCGTATGCTTGCTACCTAAGCTAAAAAGCTTGGGGAATAATCTGAAATATTTAAAAGATGAGTGACGTGATGAAGTTTGTGTAATAAGGAAAGCAATTGTTCACATAAAGTGTTACAGAGCCTAGCATAAAGCAGGCACTCAATTAGTGCTACTATTATTAATACTAGAATATGTAGATAATGGTAACAAAAAGAATATTTACCTTATGTCCTTGATAGTTGCTCGTTTCAGGGGGTCAACCTGCAGCATATGCATCAGGAGAGTGGCAACAGAACGATTGAGATATTCTGGGATATAAAAAACACCCCCTCGGATCTTCTTAAATAACGTGGGTACATGCTCATCATCAAATGGGAGGGTGCCACAGAGAAGAGCATACAAAATCACACCACAGCTCCAGATATCAACTTCCGGACCTGCATACAATCTAAGAAAGAGGATGACAACACAAACCTGAAATGCAAGTGCCACTTTTTCTCATCTATATGTACCCTGCTTCTCTATATACACACAGTATAGACTCAGTATTTATTGCTTTCCAAGGTCTTTACTGAAGTCCATGGCTGCTCCCCAACACTCAATGGTTGTTCTCCATAGGGAATAATTGATCTAACCAATGACTATTCAAGTTTTCCAAAAGAAAAAGGTATTTTTATTTATTTGGCACAAACTCAATTAACTGAATTTACTAATTGACTAATTAAAACATTCAAAACTTTCTATGACTGATTTTTGATGGAAATATCAAAGTAGATGACCATAAATTTGATAAAAACAATACTATATAATGTATAGGCTCTTTTTACCATAAAACTACTACAAAAAAGAAAATGCATATATAATAGAATTTTTATCCCTTGCACACCTATTTTAGGGAATATTTGAAACAGTAAAGTACCTAATTAGTCCTGTGGCAATCTCTTTGACAGTATTTATCCTGTAGCACATTACCCTGAGTACCTACTTACTTTCATCCTAACCACCTGCTAGCTCATGGGATTAAGATGAACTTTGCTCCAGAAAACCTACGCCTAGAATGTTACTGCTTTTTTCTCTCAGCTTTCTACAGTATTAAAATTCCCGATAGCATATTATCAAACTCAAACCTAGGTGTGAGGTAACAAAGTAAATCTCTACAATTCTAATTAAAAGAATACAATCCATTTCAATAAAAATTGTTATCATTTACATCATTTGCTGTATTGTCCAAACTCCTGTATCTGCTACCTGCAATAATACCTTTTCTATACATTCTCTCAGAGAATTCTGTTAACTTTGAAAATCAGACATTAGTCACTGTAGAAGACTTGAGTTTACCACTGCAATCTGTATAAACATTTTTAAAATGTACCATTGAGTAAGTTACATGAGTGATTACACAATCTCCACTTGGGCAGTTTAATTTCATGAAACAATATTGTCCCCCAAAACCTCCTTCTTCTAAAGACAAAATATAAAACAATACTCTGTATACTTTATAAAAGAATACGTAAAGTATTATTAAAGGACTGTGTCTGATAAGTAAATAATGACACTGGCTTAAATTTAGCAAATGTTTACTCTCTTACCTGCACTTTTCTAAAATGAAAAAAATCAAGATTTGTTTCAGTTATCTTTTTAAAGGAAAAACTCCTTAAATACATCATAACAAAATCTAAATTAAATGTTTCAAAAATTATTTAATATAACTATTCTCTCTTGAATAATGGAAAAATTAAAGGAACAATTTGTTTCTACTATGTTAAAAATCTTATCTTCCAAAGAGAATATACTATAATTAAATGTTATCAGAATGAACAAAAGATGACAAAAAGCTCACTCTTCACTAATATATTATTACCTGCCTGAGATGACTTCAGGTGCTGCATAATTTGGAGATCCACAACTAGTTCGCAGAAATTCACCATCTGACATCATATTAGATAATCCTGAAAAAAGGAGTAATGTTTACTTGGTACTAGATATTTTTAAAAGCAGATATAGATAAACACATGAGGAAAAAGGTCAAGTCTTTAATGCTCCATACATCATATTTTTTAATTATTAAAAAAAGCAGTGGAAAGCATTTGTTAAACTAGAAAGAGACCATTTCAGAGCGGTTACCCCATGACAAAATCCTGAAGTACATCACACAAACTGAAATTAAACTCCTTTTCTAAATAAAAATGTTAATTCACTTCACAAATATGAGGTTATTCTAAATTATATAAACTTTTATAATGTTTTTTATATTTATAAAAGCATCAAAATATTATTTATTCACTTATACAGTTAAAAGAATAAAACAGAAACTATTACTTTTTTACATTATGCTTTCAAAAGCCTTTTAAAAAAATACCTAAGTAGAAATCAGACAAGCTCCAATTCACAAAGACTATGTTCCAAAAATTTTTAATTTGGAAACCTTTAATTCAACGTAGGAAAAATAATCTATCAAACCAAAAGCCTAGTTGAACTATAGTACTAAATGAGTTTTGTGATTTAGAGAAGGAAGAGAAATAGGGAAACTATTTTCCTGGTTTTTAGATTAAAGACGAGGTACAAAAATTTTTAAATAACGAACACTGAACTGTGGCACCCTTCCCTCTCTCTTTCCATAATCTCTTACTTCCTAATCCTTTTCCCAAACACCTTCTATGGCACCCTTTCCAGGTATGTTTACCCCAGAAAGTGTTTGGTGTATAAAAATTACATTTTACCTTTTCTTTTATCCCTGATAAGAACTCCTATTCTTTTACCAAGTTGTTAGATGTTACCCTGAGACTGCTGACATTCCCCCTCAATCAATTCAGAAGGACTATAAAGCTCCAGAATTGCATGCAAATTTTCATGTACCTCCGTGCTGAGCCTGCAACTAATCCCTTTTTATGGTTTAGAATTTACAATGTTGAAACTGAAAGTTCTTACTTCTTTAAGAGTTCTTAACACATTTTAAAAGGCAGCTAGCACATTTCTGAACAACCCTGTAGTTACATACCAAAATCAGCTATCTTGGCATTCATCTGTGCATCCAATAGCACGTTCTCTGGTTTCAAGTCTCGATGAACAACCATATGCCTGTGACAGTAATCCACAGCAGACAGAATCTGCTGAAAGAGCCTCCTGGCTTCCATCTCTTCAACCTATCAAGTACAGAAAAGCTTTACTAAGGATATTTGGGACATTTACATAGCAAGAATTTCAGTTTCATAATCAGCCTAAATATAACTAAGTAAACTAATTAAAATTGTGTTATAATTCTCAACAAATCAGAAAAACAAACCAAAAACTTGCATTAATACTCAACATGTCAATCAACAGGTTTTTCTTTGCTGCTAGGCAGTAACATTTAATTTTCAACCAATATTACTAAATGTTTACAATGTTTTGGAGAGTTGACAAGTAAAACAACCTAACGCAGAACTTATTTGAAAGTGCTAAGAAAAGGAAATAAATGAAACTTCAACATGATATTATGGAACGGGTTTTTCATTTTGAAAACTATAGGCATCATGTTGGCAATTGACAGGAACATATTTCCTAAAATCAGTATTTCAAAAGGTGTATTTTTTAAGAAAGAAAAGATGTCTAATACTCTGTATGTTTAGTTGGGCATTATTACAGAAGCAACCCCAACTTTGAAGATCTCTTTGTGGTTGGCTATTTCCCACTACTTTCCTCCTTTTTAGCTTAGGGGCTTACTGTACTAGATAGTATGTTACTCACCCGTCCATGTTTACAGATGTAGTCAAATAATTCACCACCAGACACATACTCCATTACCATAAAAAAATCTGTTGGAGTGCTGATCACCTGGTATCTTTTTTATAAATGAAAAAAGTTAATAAAAAATTTTGCTTTAACCAAAATGAATCTAGTATATCTATTCTTGCTACGATTTTATAGTCCAGTGTTTTACAATATTTTAAGATGGCTAAAAATTATATAATGTTATCAAAATTATCACACAGCCATGCAAAATTCAACTACTTTCTGGAGCTTACCAACTTTCCTTCAGATTCTCTTTTATGTTCCATTAAACAACGAAGCATTAATTTTTTTCATTTAAACAAAACTTTACAGTCTATGGAGATGAGGCATCATATATTTAAACAAAGGTAAAAAATATTCTTGGAAATATTAAATGATACCACAGGGATATAATCAGCAAAATCCAAAAGTGGAAAAATGGACTTTTCTTCAACAAATAAAATGCAAGAAAAAAGGGGAAGGGGAAGCTATAGATTAAAAGGACTCAAGAGACATACTGATCAATTATATGGTATAGATTTCTTTTGATTTTGATTCAAACAAACCAACTTTAAAAACCATTTATGAAATAATCAAGAAAGTCTAAATACTGACTGGACGGTTGATAATATTGTTAATTATTTTAATTTTTTAGGTGTAATAATGAACTGTGCTTGTATTATTAAAATAAAGTCTTTATCTTCCAGAGTAGATACTGAAGAGTTTACAGATTAAAAACATAATATTTGGGATTTGCTTCAAAATAATTCAGGATGGAAGAAGTAGGAGGAAGTAGATAAAACACTACCTCACAATTGTTGAAGCTGAATGACAGATATATGAGGCTTTATCACTTTACTTTTGTACACAATAAAAAAAATTCCCATGATAAAAAATTAAATAGACATATGTATGTATGTGTGCGTGTGTGTATACATATATATTTCTAGGCATTCAAAACTGAGCACATTAAAAAAATAAAGAGGGAGTGACATCAGCATCATGGCAGAGTGAGTTGTTCCCTTAGTCTCTCCCCACTAAGTTACAACTAAACGGACATTCATTAACCAACAGAGGATTCCCTACAAAGCACAACAGGATGTCTGAGAGATCCACATAGTCATACATCTGAAGGTGGAACTGGATTCCCAGGAAGCAGAGGAAAGAGATGAGCGGATCCCTCCACCTCACTGGCAGCAGCGATCTAGGTCGCAGGTCCTCACAGAGCTGCCAGCGCGCAACTGTAAGAGGAAGCTGGGGGCAGCCAGGACTGTGTGTGAACGCTTTCACTTTCAGAGTTACGGCCTGGAAGCAGGAGTACCCATCATGCTGCAGCAGCTGTACCCATGGGAACACTCTCCATCCAGTGGCACAGCCCAGCCCCCACAAAGGAGCCCTCACCAAGCGCAGCACCTCAGGCAAACCACCCATGAGCACAGAGCTGGCCCGCACATGCAAAATAAAGCGCCTCCTCCCCACCTAGTGCACCAGCTCGGCCGGTCCACTGCCAAGACAGCAGTCCTGCACCAGACTGTCTGCCCATGCATGTGTGACCCACCAAGCGACTGTGGCCAGCAGGCAAATGCAGATGAGCCCTACTGGCACAATTTCCAGAAGACATGGCAGGTTCAGAAAACACAGCTCCTGCCCAGTCCCCAGAGGTGGCAGGTGGGATCTATGACCTGATAATACCACAAAGGCCCCAGCAAAGGATCAGTTCATCAAACACCATGAAAAACTACAATAACACTTCAGAGCAGAAAGAAAATGACAAATCTCCAGAAATCAATCCCGAAGTCACAAAAATTTACAAACTAAAATGAAAGAGAATTCAAAAATAGTTGTCATAAAGAAACTCAACAAATTAAAAGAAAACTCAAAAACACAGTTCAATGAGCTCAGGAATAAAATTAATGAGCAGAAGGAATACTTCACCAAAAAGACTGAAACTCTAAAAAAAAAAAAAAAAAAAATTCTAGAAAAGAAGAACACAATTAATGAGATAAAAAAATAATGAAGAATCCTAAAACAATAGAACTGACATTATGGAAAACAGTATTAGCGATTTAGAGGACAGAAATATAGAAACGCTTCAAGTGGAGAAGAGAGAACTAAGATTTTCAAAAAATGAAGAAACTCCTAGAGAAATATCCGACTCAATGAGAAAACACAACATAAGGATTATATGTATTCCAGAGGGAGACGGGAGGTATAAAAACGAATATAGCTTGTTCAAAGAAATAAAAGCTGAGAACTTCCCAAACCTGGCGAACGAACAGGACTTACAAGTACATGAAGCCAAGAGAACTCCTATTTACATCATGCAAAAAGACCTTCTCCAAGGCATATAATAGTAAAATGGGCAAAAGTCAATGACAAAGAAAAAATATTAAGGGCAGCAAGGCAGAAGAAAATAACTTACAAAGGAAAGCCTATCAGGCTTTCAACAGATTCTCCACAGAAACCTTACAGGCTAAGAGAGAACGGAACGATATATTCAAAATACTGAAAGACAAAAACTTTCAGCTAAGAATACTCTATCCAGCAAAACCATCCTTCAGATATGATGGAGAAATAAAAGTTTTCCCAGATAAACGAAAGCTGAGGGAGTTCATCGCCACTAGACCTTCCTTACAAGAAATGTTCAAGGAAGCTCTCATACCTGAAACAAAAAGACAAAGGTTTACAAAGCTTTGAGCAAGGAGATAGTCACACAAAATCAGAAAATTGCAGCTCTTTAGCAGAACAGGTTAGCAAACACTTAACTAAAACATAAAAGATAAAGGGAAACAAAGCATCAAAAATAACTAGAAACAGACCAATTAAGTCACAAACTCAACACAGAATAATTTGTGACAACAACAATTCAGAAGGGGAAGAGGAAAGAGATGCAACCTGCTTAGGCTAATGGAGAGAAGAGGCTATCAGAAAATGGACTATCTCAACTACAAGAACTTTTATACAAACCTCATGGTAACCAGTAAACAAAAAAATTAGAGCAGAGCCACAATTCCTAAATAAAGAGAAACTGAGAAAACCATCACAGAAAACCACCAAACTGAAATGGCAGTCAGAAATACAAGGGAAGAGAAACAATGGAAATATAGAACAACTGAAAAACAAGAAATAAAATGGCAGTTATATTAAGCCCTCATATATCACTAATCACTCTAAATGTAAATAAATTGAATTCTCCAATCAAAAGACAAAAAGTAGCTGGATTGATTAAAAAACAAGACCCAACAATATGCTGCCTCCAGGAAACACAACCCAGCCCTAAAGAAAAACACAGGCCAGAGTGAAGGGATCGAAGATGATACTCAAAGCAAATGGAAAACAAAAGAAAGCAGGTGTTGCCATGCTTATATCAGACAAAGCAGACTTCAAGATGAAAAAGGCAATGAGAGACAAAGAGGGGCAGTATATAATGATAAAAGGGACATTCCACCAAGAGGACATAATACTTATGAATATATATGCCCCTAACACAGGAGCACAAAAGTATATAAAGCAACTATTAACAGACCTAAAGGGAAAAATACACAGCAACAGAATAATAGTAGGGGACCTCAACACCCCACTTACATAAATGGATAGATCATCCTGACAGAAAGTCAACAAGGAAATAGTGGATTAAATGAAACATTAGATCAGATGGACTTAATACATATATGTAGAACATTCCATCCAAAAACAGCAGAATACACATTCTTCTCAAGTGCACATGGAACATTCTCAAAGATAGACCATATGTTGGGAAATAAGGCAAGGCTGAATACATTTAAGAAGACTGAAATCATATCAAGCATCTTCTCTGACCACAAACCTATGAAACTAGAAATCAACTACAAGAAAATAGCTGGAAAAGTGACAAATATGTGGATACTAAACAACATGCTACTGAACAACCATTGGATCAATGAAGAAATCAAAGGAGAAAACAAACACTACCTGCAGACAAATGAAATGAAAATACAACATACCAACTCTTAAGAGATGCAGCAAAAGTGGTTCCAAGAGCAAAATTCATCGCAATACAGGCCCACCTCAACAAACAAGAAAAATCTCAAAAAAGTAATCTTAAACTACACCTAACAGAAATAGAAAAAGAAGAATAAACAAAGCCCAAAGTCAGCATAAGAAGGGAAATAATAAAAATTAGAGAAGAAATAAAAGAAATATAAAGCAAAAACAAAACAAAGCAGTAGAAAGGATCAATGAGATAAGAGCTAGTTCTTTGAGAAGATAAACAATATTGACAAACCCTTAGCCAGACTCACTAAGAAAAAAAGAGAGAAGGCTCAAATAAATAAAATTAGAAATTAAAGAGGAGAAATTACAACAGATACCACAGAAATACAAAGGATTATAAGAGAATACTATGAAGAACTATATGCCAACAAATTGGACAATCTAGAAGAAATGGATAAATTCTTAGACTCATACAACCTCCCACAACTGAATCAAGAAGAAATAAAGAATATGAAAGGACCAATCACAAGTAAAGAGATTGAAGCAGTAATCAAAAACCTCTGAAAAAATAAAAGTCCAGGACCAGATGGCTTCTCTGGAGAATTCTACCAAACATTCAAAGAAGGTTTAATACCTATCCTTCTCAAACTATTCCAAAAAACTGAAGAAGACGGAACACTTCTTAACTCATTCTAGGAGGCCAACATCACCCTGATCCCAAAGCCAGACAAGGACAACAGAAAGAAGGAAAATTACAGGCCAATATCGCTGATTAACGTAGATGCAAAAATCCTCTACAAAATATTGGCAAACGAAACACAGCAATAAATTAAAAGGATCATATATGATGATCAACTGGTATTTATACCAGGGATGCAGGGATGGTTCAACATCCACAAATCAATCAATGTGATACACCACATTAATAAAGTGAGGATTATAAACCACATGATCATCTCAATAGGTGCAGAGAAAGCATTTGACAAGAACCAACATCTATTTATGATAAAAACCCTCTGTAAAATGGGTATAGAGGGAAAATACCTCAACGTAATAAAGGCCGTATATGACAAAGCCTCAGCCAACATCATATTCAAC